ACTTACTACTCGGCCGGGCTTCGGCTGCCGGACTCGGGTCGGATGCTTGTGGACTCAATGCCCGATTCCGGCCCGAATTAATCGGGCCAGATGCGGCGGCCGCAAGCGAGCCGACGCTGCTGCATCCGCGCCGGAATCGGCCCAAGAGTAATGGGCTCTGCGGCCCGGAGCTGGCGCGACTCAGTATTTATATACCTTTATATAAAACCTTTTGGTATTACATTGGTACTTGATACATGGTATTACAACCCTTTGAGTTATTATAACAGCAAACGCCTGTGTGTCTGCTTGGTGCTTGTGTGTGTGTTAGTGCGCGCGCGCGTATGAGCGAGAGAGAGCTTTGTCTTTGTCTGTGTGTGTGTGTGTGCTTGGTGCTGTGTGTGTTTATACAGACAGCTTGGCTGTCTGGACTGTATAACTGGGTGATTTTCGGTTTTGTTCTCCCCTGCTCTTTAGCGGGATTGGGCGCGGCGGGCAGAAAACGGGGCGGGTCGGGCAGCGGGACAATAAATTCTTAATATAAGCGGGAGCGGTTGGGTTCGAGCTAAAACCTGGCGGGTACGGGCGGGAGCGGGATTCAAAATTTAGTCCCGCGCAGATCTCTACTCCAAGGCTTTTCACCATTTTGGATGCAGTAATGGTTGCCCCATCCATCTGGATTGAAAAGTTATGGTGTAGAGTCGGGTGGTATTAGCTTGTTCAGGTGTGTTTGATTAGGGCTGGAGCGAAAATCTGCAGGACACCGGCCCTCCAGGAACAAGTTTGGTGAGCACTGTTATAGAAACTTCCTGACAGGTGTGTTGAAGCAAGTTGGAGATAAACTCTCCAGGACACCGGCCCTCCAGGACCGAGCTTGGACACCCCTGCGTTAAGTGGTTCTTTGGCTGGTGGGAAAACATGAGCGTAGCCTGTATTTGTTCTTTAGTTGTTTTCTGGGGTGGTTTAAATTATATATATTATAAATAGATATTGGTATAATTTGTTGATTAAGAGTAAAAACAGCTTGCCCTATTCCATCTGTACACATTTTTATGAAAGTTGAGATCTTGTGTCCGCAGGTCAGTATGAGCACTCTCAGTTCAGTTCTCGTGTGCAATATGATCCAAGACCTTTAAATAACACACTGTCCAGCATTGCAGGAGGCCTGCAGTTGGCCAGAGAAACTTAATACTGACACACACACACTGGATACTAACAGTAAAACATGTACAAACATGAACAAATACTTACACAAACTCTCAATGTGTTCATGTGCATACTTTGTGGAAAACTTCACACCGATGCTTTAGTATAGGTTATATATATATTGATCAAAATGCACTTAACACCACCTCATAGATTGATGTTGTATATTGGTAGCGCGCACACAGCTGTCACCTGTCATAGATGAGTCATATGTGGCAGTGATTTTTCTGTTAAATGGACGCACCTGTCAGTGTCTCGTCTCCAGTCTCCATAGGGAAAAGGAAATTATATTGCTCATATTGAGTGTTTATTTTATATCGCATTTGGCCGGCTCTTTTTTTTTACATGCGAAAATACCAAAAAGTAACAAAAGCACACACTTACCGTACAGTAAGCTACATTCACACATTCATTCATTTTTTTAAATAGATACAATCAATGTATAAATATATCCATCTACACAAAAATGACCACCAATAAAATATACAAAAAGTTTCTTAATATTATTTCAGCTATAATTGTTCACATAATAGCTACCATTTTATATAAATGTGACACAAAACCGTAAGTATCCATTTTGTGAATTGCAATTCAAAAGCTGAATTATTAGCCCGCCTGAATTATTAGACCGCTTGTTTATTTTTCAGCACGTTTCTAAACATAATAGTAGTTTTAATAATTAATCTCTAATAACTGATTTATTTTATCTTTGCCATAATGACAGTAAATGATATTTGACTAGATGTTTTTCAAGACACTTCTATACAGCTTTAAGTGACATTTAAAGGCTTAACTAGATTCATTAGGTTAACTAGGCAGGTTAGGGTAATTAGGCAAGTTATTGCATGACTGGTTTGTTCTGTCGATTATAAAGAAAAAATATATAGCTTAAAGGGGTTAATAATTTTGTCCCTAAAATTGTGTTTAAAAAATTTAAAACTGCTTTTATTTTAGCCAAAATAAAACAAATAAGACTTTCTCCAGAAGAAAAAAATGTTATCAGACATACCGGGAAAATGTCCTTGTTCTGTCAAACATCATTTGGAAAATATTTGAAAAAGAAGAAAAAAATTTGAAGAGGGCTAAATATTCTGACTTTAACTGTACATTGGGAAAATCAACTTTAAAGTGGTTTATAAGTTCTAGATATTTGTCAAGACACTTCTCTACAGCTTAAAGTGACATTTAAAGGCTTAACCAGGTTAATTAGGTTAACAAGGCAGGTTAGGGTAATTAAGCAAGTTATTGTATGGTAACGATGGTTTGTTCTGTAGACAGTCAAAAAAAATAATAATTAGCTTAAAGGGGCTAATAATTTTGTCCTTTAAATGGTGTTTAAAAAATTAATAACTGGTTTTATTCTAGCTGAAGTAAAACAAGTAGGACTTTCTCCAGAAGAAATAAAATATCAGACATACTGTGAAAATTTCCTTGCTCCGTTACACATAATTTGGGAAATATTTAAAAAAGAAGAAAAAATCTAAGGGGGCTAATAATTCTGATCTCAATTTAGGAAGGTTCCCAATCAGGGACCAAAGAGAAAACAAAAATTCCTTCATAACAGCAACAGAACATATCATAACATAACAGCGGGTGAAAACAATGTTACCTGTAAAAATAAATCCTGAAATTTTATAGAAGGAAAACATAAGGTTGAATGGGAGTAATCCATTTAAAACTAAATTTAACATATATATATATATATATATATATATATATATATATATTTGGCTGTTCACACTGTGTGTAGTTCTCTCCATAATAAATATATTTTTTCAAAACATCAATCAAATCTTGCATTTGTGGTGGATTAGGTTTGTACCAGCATCTAGTAAAGACTTTTTTAACTTGAAACAAGAACATTCGTCTTTTTAATTATCCAAGCCGTGCATACATGACACAAAATGGAAGAAAGCACCTTGTTTTGTTGCATTTTAATATGAAATGTACAGGGAAAAACATTTTTTTTTTTTCAAAATAAACATTTAATGAATCTTTTGAAATATAACATCAACTGTACTTGATTGCATAATATAATACAAAGCAAATATATACTGTGTGTGCTATGGTGTGTGAACAGGCTGTCCAAGTAAAACATAAAAATGTAGGTTGGTTGGTGATTTCTACACTGTAAAGTAGGTGATTGTCTCCAGAAACATTTTTGTTGTGCTTGTTGAAAGTCTCTTCACATTTCAAAAGTAATGATTAAAATGAATGTATTTAAATGTATTTTTATATTCTGGGTAAGGCATAAGACTAAAAATGTGTATCTAATTAAAATTTATCGGGCCGACTTTTCCCATAATTCTAATAAGTAGCTCAAACTGTCAACAAAATGTAGATTTGTACATCTGCGCAGCAGTTCATGCAGATCCGCCATTTGTGTGTGCATGTGCCACGCTCACGAGGACACGACAAAAACAAATGCTGGATCTAAGTTTTATAAAATCCTGAATCAATATTGGAGTTACTTTTGAACGCTGGAGGAAGGACGACACCATGGCTAAAGTATTTCTGTTAGACAGGTAATGTTCTGCTTTAAAACTATTTTAGTCAACCAAAGCTGATGTAGATTTTGGTGTTACGAATGAGTTATACGCACCGAGGTGTTGTTTAGGAACTGAAATCTTCCAGCGAACGATTGATGTGACTATTTTCAATGTCATAAGGTTCCTTTTACAGCATCGATGATGTAGATTTTTATTCAGTTTAACAATAAAACATCAGTAAATAGCCCTATTTTGCCTAGCCTGTTTTACTGAGGTGAAGCTGGTTTATATTCACATTGATTCATTTCTGAACATTGACAACCTGTGACGCTCTTATATTGTTTACCATGCTACTCTGAATAGTCGGTCTGAAATAGCATGTAAGTATGGCGAAGTCTTCTTATTCTATGGCCTTAGTCCCGTATGGTTGCGGGGTCGGCTCTTTGGAACATGTCCTCTATTTAGACTTGTCCATATGATAACGACTTTTTTTTATACCTTCCGGCCGGCCTGTCATCTGGGCCTGTCACCCTCATACACTCACACACTCATAAACTTCGGACAATTTAGCCTACCCAATTCACCTGCAGCATGTCTTTGGACTGTGGGGGAAACCGGAGCACCCGGAGGAAACCCAATCGAACGCAGGGAGAACATGCAAACTCCTCACAGAAATGCCAACTGAGCCAAGGTTCGAACCAGCAACCCAGCGACTTTCTTGCTGTGAGGCGACAGCACTACCTACTGCGCCACTGCTTCGCCATGGAGGTTAAAAAGGAGGCGTGGCATCTAACCCCACCCCTATCCCCAACTGTCATTGGGCGATGAGCAAATTATACTATATTGTACAAATTAGATTGTACAAATTCATTCGAATTAGCCACTAAATCAAAAAGTTACGAATTGCCGTGAGATTGCGTTGAGCATACAGTAGTCACTTTGGGACAAAGTGTGAGAGAGTGAGACCTGCGATCCTTGCATGCATGACATATTGCACATTATGACAAGTTTTGCTTGCTACACAACTGAAAACGTGCTAGAAATAACACAGTTTTTGTTCAGAGTTGTAGTGTTTAAAGTACTATAAAGTTTTCTAACTGGCGAATGACATGAACTAGCGGGTGGTCTGCTGCCATCTTTAATGTGTGCATTAGTGACTTTAGAAAGTGTGGCTTTGGACACCAGGGAAGGGACTTCATTTCAAAGATATTATGCTAACCGTTAGCATTTAGGCAGATCACCTACTGCACCTTTAAACTTTTAAGCTGAATCAAATTAACCTTATATTATGTTAAACTGGCTTAAAACAGCTTAATGCGTAACTTATAGAATTAAGTTAGAACATGATTAACTTAGTTTAATAAGTTACAATGACCTTAAACATATGCTGTCAGGACTGATTGATCATATACATTTTTACAGTACATTGCAGATTATTTAAAAGCATTGAGGGTGGAAAACACTTAATGCATTAATCAATTAATAATCAAAACAGAAAGTGTAAATGCAAATCTAAAAAGCAGGCAAAATGATATTCCTCCCCAGGCAATATAAAAATGCAGCAGTTCTTTAAAGACACATGTGTGCAATACTATAACCACAAAAACTAATGCATGAAGTGTTCCCAAACCATTCGTGATCACTGTTTACAGTACTGCTCAAAGCACACATGATGGCCAAAAACTGAAGCAACCAAAACAAAAATTATAAAAAATACTATAAGAGTCTGCACATCAGCCTGTCATAAAGTCAACACATCCCAAACATGTTATAGATATTTAAACGGTCAGTTCACCCAAAATCAAAATTACCACAGCATTTACTCTCCCCGTTTCCTTTCTCTGTTGAACACAAAAAGAAGATATTTAGAAAAATGCTAGTTGCTGGCACCCATTGATTTCTGTAGTAACAAAAGAAATGACCATGGATTGCAATTGGTGCTAGCTACCAGCATTTAAAAAAAATATATCTACGTTTGTGTTTTCTTTTGGGATTTAAACAAGTGAAAGGTGAGTAAATGATGACAGAATTCAATTTTTGGGTGAACTATCCCTTTAATGCATTCTGATGATTACCATCATTCATGAGTATATCAGTTGTACTGATGATGGTCTGTGCGGCCGATCACTAGAAAGAGAAGACCAGACAGAAAACAGAAGAACACGCCGACTGGAGCAAACATGAAGGACAGGCCGTAAGTCTTATTCAGCTCGAAGTCTGCACACTTATTTAACTTCTGATACTCCGTATATAAACTTATTACATCCAGAACATCTATCCAGATAACATACATCGCTGTGACAACTAAAACGAAGAAACCTGGAGAAAGTGACAGCAGTGAGAGGTGGAGAAATGAAAATAAAGAGGAAAGAGACAGCAGTGACTGTAAATGTTTGTGAAATTTAAAACACATTGTGTTGAAGAAATGCATCTTATATTAATATTGGCACCCTGTGAAAGTTATATTAAATATAATTTTTATTGAAAGTTATGTATATTTATTTGTTAATGTTTTGATCTTTTGCTTTAATAAATGGAAATGCACTGAGTAAACTAACGTAAACTAACTATACTTGACCCATAACACACCCACAGACTCTGCAATCGCCATAAACAACTGGTAGCTCAAGGGTGTTTAGGAGCAAAAACTAACTTAGTTATACATATACAAGTTTTATACAAGATGACACTCACTGTAAAAAGTAGATCCATAAAATTGAAGGCAAAAAACAGCAGCTGTGGTTGCCAGTATTTTACCGTTAAAAAGAAATAGTTTAAAAAATAAATCCGTAAAATTTACGGTAAAAAACAGCAGCTGTGATTGCCAGTATTTTACTGTTAAAAATAAATAATTTAAAACATAAATCCGTAAAATTTATGGTAAAAAACAGCAGCTGTGGTTGCCAGTATTTTACTGTTAAAAATAAATAATTTAAAACATAAATCTGTAAAATTTCCGGTAAAAATCAGCAGCTGTGGTTGCCAGTATTTTACTGTTAAAAATAAATAATTTAAAACATAAATCTGTAAAATTTCCGGTAAAAATCAGCAGCTGTGGTTGCCAGTATTTTACTGTTAAAAATAAATAATTTAAAACATAAATCTGTAAAATTTCCGGTAAAAAACAGCAGCTGTGGTTGCCAGTATTTTACTGTTAAAAATAAATAATTTAAAACATAAATCTGTAAAATTTCCGGTAAAAATCAGCAGCTGTGGTTGCCAGTATTTTACCGTTAAAAATAAATCTTTTTAAAAATAAATCCGTAAAATTTACGGTAAAAAACAGCAGCTGTGATTGACAGTATTTTACTGTTAAAAATAAATAAATTAAAACATAAATCCGTAAAATTTACGGTAAAAAACAGCAGCTGTGGTTGCCAGTATTTTACCGTTAAAAATAAATAGTTTAAAAAATAAATCCGTAAAATTTACGGTAAAAAACAGCAGCTTTGGATGTTTCCTATGTCTGCCACACCCATTACAGGTCTTTCAGTCTCTGCTAATGAGCTGATGATCTGAATCAGGTGTGTTTGGTTAAGGAGACTTGAAAAATGTGCATAGCTGGTGGTCCACACTGCGCTAAATGACTAAAAGTAAATAATATTTTATTTTGAAACTTACACTGATTGGAATCCGCTATGGATGCCATCTTGTGATCAGCAATTTAAAATTAAGATCTGCGCAAGAACTTTCACAGCGAATTATGCATATTTTGTAGTTGTCGAGTGCACATGGGTTGTACACTCCTTATTGTGGTGCATTATGGGATTAATTGAGTGCACTTCAGAACGTTCACAACGGTTTTGTGCACCCCTAAAAATGGCTACTCTCTCAAACACAGTGCATTATTTAAGGGTAAAGGGGATGAATTAGGATTCAAGTAACACTAACAAGCCACATGACACTGGGGAAAGAAAATGTCTAATTGGGCCCAGTTTGAACGTTTTTTCTTGCCAGCAGTTTTGACATTATTTTGAGCTTATTATACAAGCTGTACACTGACTACTTTACCTTGTAGAAAAGTTTCATTTCTTCAGTGTTGTCACATGAAAATATTTACAAAAATGTAAGGGACGTACTCTTTTTTTTTAGAAACTGTATGGTTATATATGACCAGATTTCCACTATTATTGTAAATATACTCAATTACAATATACTCAATACTCAATTATACTCAATGCTTCTGACTCAATACTGAATAAATCAGTTATCAATTATTAAAGTCAATTAAAGCTAATATTTTAAGCAAAAGATCAAAAGGTTAAATAATCCAAAAAAAAATGCAGATGCCTTTGCTTATAATTACCAAGTGTGCTAACATTACTAATGGAGTGCACGGTAGCTTCTTATGCAATCTCCAACTTACCTGAAATGAGGTAGAGTCCACCGCCTGCTTTATAAAGGCGATGACTGGCGAATGGAGCTGCACAGATGATAATGAAACCGCCGGCCACCACAGCAGCCACACCAACCAACATGGAGACGCTCCAGAAGCCTCTGTAGACTGAATAATCATGCTTCTCATTAACACCAGGCAGATTTAGCGAGGAAAACACTACTGTATACAGAGTAATGTATTCTCTAAAATCAAATGCCATATGCTGTTTGCAACCTCAGAGCGAAGCAGGGTGTTTGCTGAAAATTGCTTCATTTTAGCGGATTGAAAGATTTGTGGCGTCAACTGAAAATTTGTTTTAATGGATTTATTGTATACTAAGAATTCTGACTGTGTGGGAAAAGGAAGCATCAGGAAAATATACTATATGACGGATTTTGATTTCAAGTCGACAGCTTAAAAATAATCATAATAATAATAATTTTTTTTTATTTATATAGCGCCATTCCAGAGCTTAAGGACACTTTACAATGAATGTAACAAAAAGGGATATTACAAACAGACATTGAAAGAACTAGTAATCAAGTAGAGACAACATTAGATATACAAACGTACAATTAAAATATAACAAACTGGAAATACAAAACAAGAACCAAGAGACAAATATGCAGAGTACAGGTTGATCAAACAAAGTGGTCAGTTTATCAAATTAGAAGTGTAACATTCAGAAAACAAGTGAGTTTTAGGTAAAGATTTAAATTATTGCTGGAATGGAGTGAGCGTGGTAGAGCGTGGTACAGAGTTCCAAAGTTTGGGTGCAATAGCACTAAATGATATTTGCAATAAAGCCAGACAGTGGTATTGATTCACAGTATAGCTAAATTGTGATGTAAACAAATTGATTAAAGCAGGTTATAATTGTTAAATAAAATAAAACAATCAGTATTTGTCTGATTGTAATTTTACCCTGACCACTATCATGGCCTTTTTCGTGATCAGAAACCAAGTCAAAAGCTGAAAATGAAGCAAAATATAGAATGAAATAAATTGATCTTTAAAATAAACAAAAATTCAATGAATGCTTGAATTAAAATGAAAGGTGACACGGTGGCGCAGTAGGTAGTGCTGTCACCTCACAGCAAGAAGATTGCTGCTTTGAGCCTCGGCTGGGTCAGTTGGTGTTTCTGTGTGGAGTTTGCATTTGTTATGCAATGTAATTTAAATTACATTTAATTTAATTAAATTATTGCAACTTAAAACCATATGTGATTTCACTACATTAATGAAGTTTTCATACAGCATGAATTAAAATAAAAAGACATCTAGAGGCATATTTTATTCCATTTAAAATATGAGCCATTAAATTATGACTTATAAATACCAAAAAGACATTGACATGTAGTGGCATAAAATCTTTTTTTTTTTTTTTACCAGATATAATAAAATTAATAATAATAATAATAATAATAATAATAATAATAATAATAATAATATTTATAATAAAAAAAAGTAAGCTTTCTTAACAAAAACTTAAAAATAATAATAAACTTACTTATAGCAGTCTGATAGCTGGTAGTGTTGTAGGACTGGTCAGGGAATGGAAAGGGCAGAAGATATGCAGGTTTGCATACTCTTACATGCGGCTGATTTTCTAAAAGAAAAAAGAAAAAGAAATCAAATTTTCTTAAAGGATGAGTTTTAAATGATTAATTCATTAAATATTCAGAAGTGTTCCATATTCAAACTGTTTGCTGACTTAAGTAACCTGGCAACAGGTCCTGAATCTTTGATATTTGAAGTCAAGTCTCCAACAGAGCTTCACAAGAGGTCTACAGTAACTACTATATTCAGTAAGCAGGTCACAGCACGTTTTCTGATATAAAATACTAGAATCAGATCCTTCTGTTTAGATTAGTTCATCATGTAAAATTTTTACAGAATTGGCCTTTATTTATTTATTCTTACACACATTAGTACGGTATAAAAAAGTATGGGGAGTATTTAGTTACAAAATATGGTTATTATTATAGTAATTTTTATGTACAGTCATTTAATTTAACATGCTTGCCTTAAATACTACAGTTTTAATAGATTCAGAGCAGAATAGAAAAAAAAAAAAATATATATATATATATATATACAGAAGACCAAACATGGTTAAGAAAAAATTAATTGAGTCAGAAATCGATAGTGTAAAATATTTATGTGTTAAATATTTGTTACTTTGAAATATTTATTTTGCTCTGTTTTGTTTGAATTTGTACATTTTTTAACAAAGCTAAAAATTTCTGCTGGGCTCGAAAGATGAGAATGAAAAGGTTTTTACATCCTATTGTCTATGTATTTAGATTTATAGGGATTTTATTTTATATATAAATACTTATAAATATATTTCACTATTCTTTTGTTTGATCAAACATAATTTACTGTGTTTGGACCATGTCAGACAAATAAAAGGAGTGCTTATGCACATCATCTCAAAAACTGAGGAGAAATGACCCAAAAGTGCACAGCATAAGGTAAGAGATGACAGCTGTCTGTGCTATCTGGGGCTGCTTATTGATCATAATTGTATTGTTTTCACTTCTGCGCCATGGAAACACCGCGATTCATTCGACAACTGTTTGATTTGTGAGTATAATTCAGTAAAAAGAATGCTAGAATCGTATGAGCACCGGCAAGAGCTTTTATTTTAGCTATAACTTGTACTTGTGTCATATATATGAACCATATGAAATATATGAAAATTAACCAATGTTCAATATCCAGCTGGGGTATCCAAAATACTGTGTATTTAAATGTAAATAATATACCAAAAAAACAAAAACAAAAAAAAAAGTGTTGCATATGTGCATAAAATATAGATTTTACACATTCAAACGAAACCACTTAAAGGGGTCTGGTGCAATGCTAGCCCTTTAAATCCTTAAGCGAAAGTCGATGACATCATGGTACCGGGTCCGCAGAGTTTAACTGGTTACTTCTTAAGTAATTTAGTTACTTTTTCAGAAATACAAATTTAATAATGTAATTAAATAATGTAATTAAAATGTAATTAAAAAATTTAATAATGTAATTAAATACTTTTTAAAGTAACCTACCCAACATTGTGTAGAAATAAACATTGGCATACATCAGCTAAAAAAGCTGAAAAACTAAAGACATCTCCGAATGTATATTGCTCAAAAGCTAAAACACAATCTCTTACCAAACCAGAACTTCCACAGATTGCCATCGTTCATGACGTCATCGAAGGTACAGCGCCAGAAGAAGCCCTCATGATGAAAGGTGAAGTTCGGGGCTTCACTATTGGGGTCGGGAACCTGGTTGACAAGAATATCACCTCGCTGTGAAGGAGCAGAGAGCAGAGGTCAGAGAGTAATCCACACCTGTTGTGGAGCCAGAGAAAATGACAAAAATCCCAAACTGCTGGAGGACAGACACTGGCGGACTGTGGATGGGTAATGTTATTTATGCATTTGCATGCAAGTTTCGAGTAGATGCCAAAGACATTATTTCCAACATTGATGAGAAACCCAATGTAAACTAGCTTGTTGACTAGAAACCATGTTGACTTAGGGGTCAAAGCTGAAACACCATTTTAACAGCAGAAAAATTTCATAAATAACTTTTTTCAGTTTGTATCATGAAGTTTGGTTGACTTTTTCTTTAAAATGACCCCACCATTTTAAAAAATCTATTGAAGACTGTACACAATTAAATTACAACTGTTGTCCTTCAGATACGTTTTAGGTCAATATTTCAACTCGCCAGGTATGAAACAATACACCACAAAAACTCTGGTACGCACTGGCACACACATGACACAACAAACACCCTAAATTCACACACACAAAATAAGAATCTGATGCTCCATCTTTTATGAATATTGTCTTGCAAGTAAAAACTTTTTAGACTTATTCTGGTACTTTACAAAATATTAGAAACCATTTACTATAGTCAAATAGGAGTGCTTTTTGTTGTTGTTGTTGTTGTTGTTGTTTAGTTCATTTGTTTACATCAGGGGTCACCAATCTTAGTCCTGGAGGGCTGGTGTCTCTGCAGAGTTTAGCTCCAACTTTCTTCAACAGACCTGCCTGAGTGTTTCAAGTATGCATATAAGACCCTGATTAGCTTGTTCAGGTGTGTTTGATTAGGGTTGGAGCTAAAATCTACAGGACACCGGCCCTTCAGGAACAAGTTTGGTGACCCCTGGTTTACAGGGTCAATGCACATTAATAAACATTACTGAATAATGTGCCAGAATTAGCCAAGAATGTCTATTTTTCATCTGTAGACCCTTAACAGAATGCTAAAAACATTGATGAGGAAAGTTTGTGATGAAGACGAGGTTGTTTCTTCATGCAAAATAGATTTGAGGATTGAAATAAAATGTATCTGCTTTATTTTAGAGATTTAGTGGTGGGACATAGGACAAATTGTGTATACAGAATTTAAGTAAACACAAGGCTTAACAAATAAAAGCTTAGAACCCTGTAAACAGCCTGGCCATCTAGAGAGCTATCATTTTGCAAACACAGCTACTGCAGTAGCCTAAATGTTCAGGAAAACTATGAATTGGACTGCAGGTGATTAATGCACTTATTGCTTCCAAAATATATATATATATATATTTATATATATATATATATATATATATATATATATATATATATATATATATATATATATATATATATATATTCTAGAGACAATTTAGATATGTACATTTATTTACAAGCACCCCCAGTCAAAATAAACAGAATTAGCATAGTACATGATGCAACTTCAGGGTTGAATTATAACGTTTGTGTAAAACAATCAACAGATTGTGATAGGTTCAGAATACACTTCTTTTCTTTTATGATATTTAAAAATGTGGGTTATTTTAAATCACATTTGGGTAAAATATGAACAAACCCGTTGACTTGGTCAAAAATGTAACGGGATAGTTCACCCATAAATGAAAATTAGTACACTATTTACTGTCAAGTTGTTCCAAACCTGTATGAGTTTATTTCTTCTGCTGAACACCAAATGAGATATTTTGAAGAAAGCTGAAAACTAACCATTGACTTCCACAGAAGGAAAAAACAAATACTGTGGAGGTCAATGGGTACACAATTTCAACTTTCTTCAAAATAACTTCTTTTGTGTTCAACAATAAAAAGAAACTCATAAAGGTTATTTGGAACAAGTGAAGGGGAATAAATGCTAACATAATATTAACTTTTGGTAAATGTTTTATTTTAATTCATTAACTTAATAAACATGTTTTTATTTTAATTCATTAACCTAATAAATTTTAATAAATGAATTTGTCCAATGCCTTATTAAATGATGTTGACACCTAAATTGAGTCAAGAAAAAATAATAATTGTGTTTATTGTGGACAAGAAACATTTCAGGCTAAAAGTTGTTTCCCAACTAATCACATGGCCATTTTGCCAAAAAAAATAAAATTCTGCTATAATTTGCTGGCCCTTCATTTTAACACAAGAGAAAATATTTTGACGAATGTTGGTAGCCGTTATGTTGATGTCTTCCATAGTATTTTTTCCTACTATGGGTTTCAGCTGTTAACATTTTAAAACTAGGTTATCCATTTAACAACATGCCTGATGTCATCGAGATGGTGGAATTAGCTTCCTTTTAAAAAAATGCAAGGTTGTTTCAACCCACATTTAAGTAAAATATGGGCAAACATATTGGTTTAAACATACATTTTAAAATAATATTAATGTAACCTTTGGGATTGCCTGAAATTTGAGCTGAAACAACCCAGCATTTTAGAGTGTCCCTAAAACAAGAGTGTCAATGAACAATGGCATGTTTTGTAGAGATTGTTTTGTCATTGGAAAACTAGCGCTGCCATAAAAACCACCTAAAAGAGCACAAATGCCATTGTTTCTCTTTAATTTCACCATGTTTTAAAGCTGTGTATGGATGAAGTTCTGTGCTCCTATTGGTCAATGTCACAGATGTGAAGAAATGAGCTCTATGCATAGCTGTTTTAAACCCAACGATGAACTTCCGGTGAAAGCTTAACATTACAATTTTACAAGGTTGTTTTTACTTTTGAAAAGGTACCAACCCAGTCACAGCTCGTGCACCTTAATTTCTGAGAGTGTACACACTATAGTATGTCCAATCCATTTTAAAGTTTCAATGTCCATTTACAAAACACCATGACACCCTATACAACAAATGGATCATGCCAAAATCTGGCTAATATCCTTTATAACTCCCTTATCATTCATCTTTTAGCCTCCCCAAACATCAATTCAACTCTTATATTCAGCAGCTAATCCGCTTGTTAAGTGATGACCTGTTGGTGACGTATGTAATACTGTTTCCGGGTCCAAGCCGCCACTCATTTGAGTTGAGAAATGATTTGTTTGTGATCACTTTTAATTCATATCACACATTAAAGTTAATTTTATATAAAGTCATAGTGTATACAACAATCTTTGGGCTTGCTGCATCACAAATACCAAAATTGTAACAATTTATAAAAAAATGAATGACTTTCTGGCCATCGGATATTAAGGCTGATTTATACTTCTGCGTCAAACGCCGGCGTATGCTACGTCGCTGACGCATAGCCCTTCGCCGTGGCCGTCGCTGACGTGCACCTCTCAAAAAAAGTAACTACACGTCGCAACGACGCGTAGCGCAAGCTCTGTGATTGGTCGGCTTGGTAGCGCTGACGAGTCTGGGCGGGACCGAGAGCCGCGTGATGGTGAAAGCCTGATGGAACGATTATTTACAAGTGTGGAGTCCCGTGAAAGAGCTCCGGATGGAAAGTTTTGTTTTGTATTTACCTCATAGGTAAAGTTGTTGCACGTCCGCCGGTTCCTTCCTCAAAATGAGCGAGTTTGAGCCACTTGTACATCCCGGAAGTGTTCAGGAAAAGCAAAACAGCACCGAAGAAACTCGACACAGAGGAATATTTACACCTCACTGCCAACTAGCGTTTGGGAAGGGTTAATGCAGACCAACAGAGACAGCGCGCAGAAGTATAAATGCACAGCTACACGCGTTGCATCCGCCGTGGGTTACGCCGGTTACTTGACGCAGAAGTATAAACCAGGCTTTAGGCATGGACATAATAAAAATAATAATAGTTTTTATTTATATAGCGCCTTTCCAGAGCTCAAGGACACTTTACAAGGGATGCAACAAAAAGATAAACAAACTTACATAAAGTCAAATATAACAAACTGGAATTACACAAACAAGACCTATGAGACATACGAGCAAAGTGGAGGTGGATCAGATAAAGTAGTTCGTTTGGCAGATTAGAAGCGAAGCATTCAGAAAAAAAGTGAGTCTTAAGTAAGGATTTGAATTCAGAGATATTATTAGCAGAGCGTAGTGAGCGTGGTAGAGAGTTCCAGAGTTTGGGTGCAATAACACTAAATGATCCGCGGCTCTTTAATGGGGGGCAGTACCAAGGGACAGCGAGAAGGCCAGAGTCAGCAGAACGTAAAGAGCGAGTTGGGGTGTAGGGGACAAGCATGTTGCAGAGATAGGAGGGTGCTAGGCTATTTAAGGATCTAAATACAAGGAGGAGAATTTTGAATTTAATGCGGTATGCAACTAGGAGCCACATATATATTGCGATCGTGATTTTTGAAAGCATTAAATCGCTTTGTACATGTTTATAATTACCACTTCACGAGTCTCCCCATACATTTGAATAGAGCGCTTGGACCCGGAAGCCGCTTCACGTGACGTCACACTTAACAAGCGGATTATTTGTATGACTCAGTCATGTGACTTTCTTACACCCTTACTGATGGTAGGGTTTAGGCATAATAAACAATAATCTTTTTTTCCTGAAAATCTTTTCCATAGTAATTACTTTTGCCCAAATTCATACAAAATCACCTCTTTGTAAAAGTTGCGGTGGTTTACCCAAAAAAAATGACAATTTACTTAGTATTTACTCTCTCTCAAGTGGCTCCAAATATGAGTTGAACACAAAAGGAGATCTTTTGAAGAAACCTTTGACTTCAATAGTTTTGGAATCTACTATGGATATCAATGTCACTGGTTTCCAGCTTTCTTCAAAATATCTTCGTTTGTGTTCAACTGGTTTGCAACAAGTGAAGGGTGAGTAAATATAGTAATAACTATCCCTTTAACTTGGATCTCATTTTCTCTCCCAAATCTTTATGGGGGAAACCAGACTTGTGTGACCGCTATGAATAGCCACTGCGCTGAGATTCCAGTTTGGCTGTTCAGTATTAAGTGTAGTATCACACTGCAGCATGTGATAGTCTACAGTCTTGAATCTCTGAGACTGTAAATAATGACGTACGTGGATGTCATATGACTGCCACAGCTTGGAAACCAAATATGCCCATTACTGCGAGAGGATCAGGGAGGATCAAAGAGCTCAAGTTAAGTACACAGAAATCTAAAAGATACAGTTAATCAGACAGTTCAGATCTTTCGCATTTTGGAAACGACATCATTCATGATGTCAATTAAATACTCAAAAATGCCCATATTTTCATATTACCCCCCATATTAAAACACTTGAAGCAACACACCCACCTCAGAAGTAACTGGACTATTTGAATATGAATTGCAGGTCTCAGATGCCAGGAGCCAATAGTCCGTGCCAAAAGACAGGAGGATGAACAGAGTTGCCAAGGCACCGAAGAGCCCAGCGAAAAATCCAGCCACATGTATCTTCATGATCTCAGAGTGCAACCTTTCCACCCGTTCACTGCTTGTTAAACAGTCTCTCCTCCTTCCCACATGAAGTAGGCACTGAAATTATGTAACTCCTCACAATTTGTCAGAAAAAATAGTCTGGTTTTACTCAGCAAGGTTTATGGCATGTGGACACAAGTGGCTTTTCTAGGACTCTTCTTCGCTCCGGTGTGTGTCTATATGTGTGATTCAAGACCTGACACTGGGTTTGGAGTGGGCTTTATGATAGCACACCAGTGTAAGGCTGCCCATTGGGCTATTTTGGTCAGTTGAGTGAAGGTGCCTGCTGTCGCTCTCAGAGGAGTGGTTTAAGAATGAGATTGCAGGAGAGAGAGGAGCCGAGTAGACCAAAATATCACCCTGCTGGACAATCAGGGGAGGAATGAAAATGAAGACATAAGAGACCTGCATTCCCAATGTCTGTCAGAATTCCCACCACCAACTAAGAAGTGAACTCTAAAGCCAATTTTTTAAAACCAAATCAGGTCTTGACGTCCTGCAGGGTGTCGTAGGGACTCATTTATTCATTCTTTCATTTTCTTTTTGGCTTAGTTTCTATTAATCTGGAGTCGCCACAGCAAAATGAAACGCCAACTTATCCATAAATGTTTTATGCATTGTCTAGCGTTAACTGTATGTTGTACCAAGGACTTAAACAAGGATGTTAACAATGGGAAATGCTGTTTGGCACCATAAACAATTTAGCTACAAATTTATATTTATCCATTAAAACTCTGACTCAGGCTCAAACTGATATGGCTAACAGCTACACTGACTGAGCATATTTACACAGCAGAGTCACAGCACATGCTATTAGAGGCATGACGCTTTTCCCGGTGACGTGGAGCCGATATGCGAATCACAGCACATTATGTTAGCTGACCAATCAGAGCCTTTTAGGGCGGGCTTTCAGAGGAATTAGGAAATATGACTGTTGTTTTCATGTTAGCAGAGCAGCAGTATATAATTAAAGTAAGACATATGAAAAAAAGGTTGATTTTTTACAAATGAAGCATGAGCACAATTTAGCTACAAATTAATATTTATCCATCAAACCACTGTGAACACCCACAATCTTTACCAGTACGTGCAAAGTCTCTGCAACTTTCCGTGCATTCTACATCTCAAATAACAAACTCGCAAAAGATATGTGAACGTTTCATAGTACTTACACATATTCCGAATATATGTAAAAGACACTTGTCAGACTTTATTTTAGAGAGCAGGCATGAGCGGTGTCCTTTTCATTTTCTCTCTGACTCAGGCTCAAACTGATATGGCTAACAGCTACACTGACTGAGCATATTTACACAGCAGAGTCACAGCACATGCTATTAGAGGCATGACGCTTTTCCCGGTGACGTGGAGCCGATACGCGAATCACAGCACATTATGTTAGCTGACCAATCAGAGCCTTTTAAGGCGGGCTTTCAGAGGAATTAGGAAATATGATGGTTGTTTTCATGTTAGCAGAGCAGCAGTATATAATTAAAGTAAGACATATGAAAAAAAGGTTGATTTTTTACAAATGAAGCATGAGCACAATTTAGCTACAAATTCATATTTATCCATCAAACCACTGTGAACACCCACAATCTTTACCAGCACGTGCAAAGTCTCTGCTACTTTCCGTGCATTCAACATCTCAAATAACAAACTCGCAAAAGATATGTGAACATTTCATAGTACTTACACATATTCCGAATATTTGTAAAAGACACTTGTCAGACTTTATTTTAGAGAGCAGGCATGAGGGGTGTCCTTTTCATTTTCTCTCTGACTCTGGCTCAAACTGATATGGCTAACAGCTACACTGACTGAGAGTATTTACACAGTAGAGACACAGCACATGCTATTAGAGGCATGACGCTTTTCCCGATGACGTGGAGCCGATATGCGAATCACAGCACATTATGTTAGCTGACCAATCAGAGCCTTTTAAGGCGGGCTTTCGGAGGAACTAGGAAATATGACGGTTGTTTTCATGTTAGCAGAGCAGCTGTATATAATTAAAGTAAGATTTATGAAAAAATAGCTTGATTTTTTTTACAAATGAAGCATGAGCACACGTTGCTTTGCATCTTATAAACACAAACAAGCCTTAAAAGTACACTGGATCAATCTGCTAGATTTCTGAACCTCTACAGACAGTAAAGTTCAAAGCACAGTAAAAGTTTTGTAATTTCAGTGGTTCATCCAATGCAATCTCACGGCAATTCGTAACTTTTTGATTTAGTGGGTAGTTTGTATGAATTCGCACGATCTAATTTGTACAGTTTAGTAAGATTTGCTCATCACCCAATGACGGTTGGGGTTAGGGGTGGGGTTGGAAGCCACGCCTCCTATTTAAAATCCTACATTTTCGTACAACTAAACTTGTACGAATTAGCCACTAAACTGACAAAACGTAAAATATTTACGTTTCCTCGTGAGATCAGGCTGGTTCATCTGTAATCATACAAATCTCCAAGAACACTTTTGTCCCAAAAAAACTGTTTGCCATTGTCAACGACAGTGTTGTGCTGCTGACTCCAATCTGTTATATTGACCTTTAGTATATGCGCACCATGACCTGATGCGGGAAAGAAGACAAAGGTAAACAAAATCTCTTACAAAATCTTTTACTGTCATGTTGGCATACAAATGTGTTCTTGGAGCTACATATTTTTTACAGTTGAACCAATAAAGTCACATGGAATGTATTTACAATGTTTTTGGATTTTGAAAGTCTCGTGTCCATAGCTGTCTGAGAGGGCTCTCGGATTTTGTTTAATATAGCTTAAGTTGTATTCCAAAGATGAATTAAGGTCTCAGGGGGTAAAAGTAAGTAAATAACAGTAGAACTTAAATTTTCAGACTAAACAAGGACATGTTATGCTGTTTCATAGGTTTATCGTTTACTTTCGTTGGGCAAGGTTCACATGAATTAATCAGAAATCACATTACTTTTCTTATCATATATATACAGTATTATAGCATCTCTTTTTTCCACAGTGTCTGAAACAGTTGGTTTAAGGATGCTGTCTCTTTAAACCTCTCCTTTCCAAGAGTCAGCTCTGCTCTGATTGGTCAGGTGGTGCCCTGCCTGTTTTGATAGGTCAACTGCTAATAGTGTTTGTCATAAACCAACCTGAAATCTTAAATTTTAGCTACGGAGGACTTGTTGTCATTTGAATATATTGCAATGATAGAGTTGGCATTTGCCAGGTGAATTTATTTTAGCGGTATAGAAATACTTATAGAAATTCATTGCAAAGCTACAAAAACAATTTCAGGAGTTTTATTTTTTGGGGAAGCTTTGTTTATTGTGGCTTTTGATTATTTTTACTTTATTATTCTTCATATTATATTCATCTAATATTCTTATAGAGATAACATATTTGCAACAATACCGATATGACGATGGAGTTGAGGATCCAATTGCCAATTCTTTAATATACAAGGAATGATCAGGCAGGCAAGGGTTAATCACTGGAGCAAACAGTATTATGCGGACAATCCAAAAAAGAAGTCAAAAACAGGCAAAGGGGCTGGTACAGGTGTCTAGCATCATTCATTTATTAATTTTCTTTTCGGCTTAGTCCCTTTATTAACCTGGGGTCGCAACAGCAGAATGAACCACCAACTTATCTTGCACATGTTTAAGGCAGTGGATGCCCTTCCAGCTGCAAGCCATCTCTGGGAATCATCTATACACACTCATTCACACTCACACACCATGGACAATTTAGCCTACCCAATTCACCTGTCCTGCATGTCTTTGGACTGTGGGGAAAACCAGAGCACCCGGAAAAAACCAATGGGAACATGGGGAGAACATGCAAACTCCACACAGAAATGCCAACTGACCCAGCCGAGGCTCAAACCAGTGACCTTTTTGATGTGAGGCAACAGCACTACCTACTGCGCAACTGCGTCGCCCATGTCTAACATCAGAAAATAATAAACAAGGCAAAGAATCAAACAGGGCAGAGCAAGGCAAGAAGAAATGTTTCTTAAGTTTTACAGGTAACAACAAGACTCAGCAATGTATCTGTGATTGTGTGCTGCAGTCCATGTAATGAGTGCATAAGCTGTGCATAAGCTTCAGCTGTACAAGTTTGTAATCAGTCTGGATCAGGAACTGGTGTGTGTGGTGCATGCTTGGAGTTGTAGTCCATTAACGATCCGGACCTGCTAGATTGCTGATAATTCTAACAATAGTTTAGGTTTAAATGAATGCTGTTCTATTCATTCTATTCATCAAAAAAAATCTTAACGCAGTTTACAACACTTTTTTTAATTAATTATTTTCAATGATTTTAGCAAGATCATGAAGATTGGACTGTGATGGTGAAAAGTTATATTTGCCATCACAATAAATTATTATTACATTTTAAAATATATTCATGCTAAAACGGTTATTTTAAATTGTCATAATGTTGCTGTTTTTGCTATATTAATAAATGCAGCTTGGTTATCAAAAAAATCACAAAAATAAAATGTTAAACAATAGTCAAACTGCTCACACTATGCATTGTCAGGCTTCAGTTTCTACTTGTATCTATTAGGTAAAAATGCCGATACGTGGAAAACAGAAAATATCCCTTAATTATATTTCAAGTGGGGTATTTTGCACCAAGAAGATGAACCTGTGACCAATTATCACTGCGGTGTGAATGAAGCCCAGAACCTAAAGTGCTACTCCTGTATTTGCTCTGAACTGAAGACATAGAGGGATATTTAAAGATTAGAGATACAGGAGAAAGTTATGCAAGCTAAAATTAAAAATAATTGCAGCAGATGTCCATCGATGACTGTATGTGGTGGAAGTCTTAGTACATACAGTATGTGGCGTTTTGCTTATAAACAGCGCTGGTTTTATATAAAGTCCCCTGTGCAGCTAAATTTACCTCTGCGCGTGTTATCCTGTTATAATACTGGGAAACAATAGTGCTTTTCATCTGCAGTTAAATAAAGATAAAGTTGCTGCTGCTTTGAGTTCATTATTTTAAATTAAACTGTTATATGATCTGGTATAGAGAATCAAATGCATTCCTTTATCAAGAGATGTGAGGATGTCAGAACAGTTTGTCAGTATGTCAGTTATTAATTCGTTTTTATTTCGATACTATTTTAAAATCTGCTGGTTACATTTCAGTTTGATTTTAGTTCATTTGATTAATGGTTTTATTACATATAATGGTAACACTTTACAATAAGGTTTATTAGTTAATGTATTTACTAACATGAACTACCCATATAATTTAGTTTTATTTTGTGAACACAATTTCAATTTAGTTTTTAATGTAAACCTAAAAAAAGCCTTGTCGCCCATTCAAGTTTTAGGAACAACTAATAATAGCTTGACTTCTAATTGATCATTTGGCATCAAAAGTGGCTTATATGAAAGACAAAGCCTTTTGATTACGCTTACTAAAATAAAATATGATCATGCCTTGATTTTTTAATTATTTTATTAGGACAGTAAGGTCTGACTTTGCTTAGACCAAAGTATTTTAGTTTAACAGAAATAATGTACATGTGGGGGTCCATGTGAGTTTGTTTATGTCAACTATCTTAAGAACATCACTGTATTAACTGCAGTGGGATGATCGAGTGTCCTGCCTTTCCTTGCCCAAGACCGTAATGGATTTGTAAACAAAATTCCAGACAGAAGTTTAGCCATGACATAAGCTTAGGTTGAGTTGATCCCTATAACAAGGATACAACTGCAAATACAACTTGGTTCACTGGAGATAATGAAATTAAGAGGACGGTCAATAGTAGGAACAAATGAGATTTTATTAAAGGGATGAAAACGTAACTGGTACCCGATTGATATCAAATAAGAGCTGTTGGAAGTTTTAAATATCTACGAACATGCATTGATGGTAAATTGATATTTGTTGGAAATTGCTTCAAAAAGCAATGCAAAGATCATATCTTAATATGAGGTTACAACAATTTGGAGTGAGTCAACATATTTTGCAGATGGTAAATGAGAATTTGCTTGAGACTGTTGTGAGTTTTTTTTAACATGACAATGTGGTTTGGACTATTGACAGTTAAAGAAAACCAAAAACTCTAGAAAATGTGCCAAATAAAAGTTAAACAAAACAACATATGTCATTAATGAAGACTGTTACACTGTAAAACCCAGTAGTTAACTTTTTCAAATGAAATGAGTGAAGTTAATTTTACTCATTTGAAAAAAAAATTTTTAACTCAGTGTTGAAGGTATGAGTTAATGAAATACCTCATTACTTCAACTTAAATGAAGTAAGTTCACAGTGCTAAACAATAACTACTATAAAAGAGTGTACAATTTGTTTAAATTTTTAGTGTTTACTGGCAAAAATACAGGGTCCTAAATATAAACAGCACCCCCAGGTATTACAACAATTATATTATATTATATTATATTATATTATATTATATTATATTATATTATATTATATTATATTATATTATATTATATTAATCCAGCACAATATTACCCAAAGAATGAGAAAAACTATAGATTAGCTTTTTAACTTAAATGGGTTGTTGCAATCGGTTTCCTCAAACAGTTTGAGTTGCCTTAACTGATTAGGTTTTACAATACTCAGTTGGTTTGAGTTCTCTTCATTTATTTGGTTTTACTGTTACATTTTTCAAATGGATTACGTTCACAGTACTTTTTAGGATTAGTTTTTGAACTTAAAGGGTATGTTGCAATCGGTTTCCTCAAACGTTTTGAGGTACCTTAACTTATTGGGTTTTACATTGTACATTTCAGCTTTTCCCATCAATAGGATGTTTTAGGCAAATGTGCATCAAATTTAATTTGTGCTAAATGCCATTAAGAAAAATGTTAAATACTGGGATTTGAGAAGGTAACTGTGTTATATGCATTATGATGTGATTTGATGATGTTGAGTGTATTTGTGTCATTTGTTGTTCTTTTATCTGACATATGAGAGGATGTTAAGGGTAATTATGTGAAGCCAAAAGACACATTTCCCCTATTGGAAAATAAAAAACATGCTCAAATTCAAATAAAACACAAAGAAAATGCTAGGGTTATGTGAGGTACAGTATATAAAGAGGCATGACCCATTCAAATGACCCAATACTGCAACACGAAAGATTGCAGTTTCAGACAGGAATTTATAGTTTTTGGTGCTTAAGCCCTCTATTGAATTATTGAATTCTGCTCTAAAAATTATAATTGAAACCCTAAATAAACAGGTTAAAAGACAATATTGGAATATATATATATATATATATATATATATATATATATATATATATATATGATTGTGCTGCTGAATTGTTGGTTTCTATTGTCTTATTATATTATTTAATAAACTTCTAAAATCTAATAAACATGCTAGTTTCTGGCTTGTTTTCCTCCAGATTCAACTTACTTCAGTATGTTAGATGGGTCACACATCAGAAGTAAAGCATAACTTGCTTTCTAAGAAAACTTTTAATGTAGCTGTGAGAAAAATCAGGTAAGCTATTTCAAGAGGGTTGCCATGCTAACAGTTATGTTTAAGGTTAGGGGTTGGTTATGACAAACTATTATTGCTTAATGTAATTTAAAATTTAAATTCACTCCTGAAGATGTATTTTATAATCATATAATTAAACAATAACTACTATAAAAGAGTGTAAAATTTGTGTAATATTCTAGTGTATAATGGCAAAAATACAGGGTCCTAAATATAAACAGGACACAGGAAACAGGCACAGTCTGACAAAGACCAGGAAGATTACCAGTAGATGGAGCTCAAGTATGCAAAGTAAACGACTAGAGCTGTGTGGTAACAAGATACAATTAATTAAAAATACACAATAAAACTCAATAGCTGCAATTATATTATATTATATTATATTATATTATATTATATTATATCATATCATATCATATCATATCATATTATATTAAATTATATTATATTATATTATATTATATTAAATTATATTATATTATATTATATTATATTATATTATATTATATTATATTATATTATATTATATTATATTATATTATATTATATTATATTATATTAATCCAGCACAATATCCTCCAAAGGATGAGAGAGGGAGTTATTTTAAGCCTAATTTAATCAAATTAAAGCAATGATTAAATGAGGCATTAATGCATCGCTTTACTTTGCAGTATTGTATGTATCTTGCCCATCACCAGAGTGCAGGATTGACCAGGATGATGAAATAACAGAGCAACAGTTCTTATTCTCCACACACACCAGCTATAGATGGAGAGGAGAAAGTGCAGTGGATCAGGATTGATAAGCCTTATAAGCCTCACTGGTTGCTTTCTTAAAGGTGGTTTCCTACTGTATATGAGACCATAATCAGCCCTGCTTAACTTCACAAGGCAACAAGTCTTGGGCTACTGGGTGATGTGGCTTAAAGGGAGAAAACATATTATTAAACAATGAACAATTAAACAAATTATGAATAAATGACCAACAACAAATACAGCAAAAGTCTAAATAGGATCAGAGGGTGTGAGAAATCATTTTAAATTCATTTGAAATTAAGAAATTATTATATAATGCAGTGAATATAATTAGGACTAATCCTGACAAAAGTAATATGAATCATGAGATACACATTTTTTGTGGACATTTTAGTCAGTCACATTTAGTCATTTACTTTACTTTCTTTATTCCACAAGTGGAAACTTATCTTTGGCCTCATCACACAACTGCATCAGTATTCACGTCCCAAATATCACAAAAAACAAGCAACAAAAATACATTCAATATCATCATATAAAATCACATTAAAACCTCAATTAACTCTATTCCAAACTCTAGTCCAAACTTACTTACAAACATAGAGGGTATTACAATAAGTATCTTAGCATAAAAGAGCAATAATTACAAGAAGTGCTGCAGTACTTTTACAAAGGTTCTGATTGTGTTTAAATATAATTATAAATATAATTTTTAAATATAATTATTAGTTTTTCTCAGTCGCTTTGGCGCATCTCTCACAACATTATTTACATTTGCACAACAGTTCATGAATTTCTCAAAACAATTAGCCATGTGTGCACAACATAGTAGCAGTTTCTCATTCCTTCCAACAATTTGCAAATGCTGAATGTGAATAATGTGAAGCATGAAATAGGACATCAATAATGCCCTAGTGAATCTTGAACACATTCATGAATTAATTTTCTTTTCAGCTTAGACCCTTTATTAATCTGGGGTCGCCACAGCAGAATGTACCGTTACCAATTGGACGGGTTTTGCAAAGGCAGTGCTATAAAAATGTTTTGCCAATGTATATACAGTTTCTTTTTTTTTTTTTTAATTGCAAATGTTTTAGTTTTTTTTTTTTTTTTTTTTTTTGCAGTTCAGTTTTTGCTGCTTTTTTTTTTTTTTTGCAAATTTCAGTCTTATTTAATTTATTCATTTATTTTCTATTCGGCTTAGTCTAGTTATTAATCCGGGGTCGTCACAGCCAAATGAACCCCTAATTTATCCAGCATTTGTTTTATGCAGCGGATGCCTTTCCAGCTGCAACTTATCTCTGGGAAACAACATCCATACTCATTCATTCACACACTCATACACTATGGACAATTTAGCTTACCCAATTCACCTGTACCGAATGCCTTTGGACTGCCAAGTGCCAACTGACCCAGGCGAGGCTCGAACCAGCGACCTTCTTGCTGTGAGGCGACAGCACTACCTACCTGAATCTTGGACTATTTTAAATAAATGATAGACTATGATTAGTTCATGTTAGCAAATACATTATTTAATGAAACCTCAGTGTAAAGTGTGACCAAATATTTTACACTAAATAGAAGGTAACCCTGTGATAAGATGTTTTGCGGTTCAAATACAGCGCGTGTCGGTCTGTTGTGTTCTGTGGACTGTACCATAAGCAAGAGATTCCTGTTCATTAAACAAACCACGCTCGGCATTTTATAACGTGAAAACGCCCACGTTCGTGCACACAACACGATTAATCTCTTTGTTTAATGTAATGGAATACAGCCAGTTGAAGATATTCGTGGTCTCCGGCAGCACATTACTTTTACGAGCAGAGCTCGCTCCCCTTTAAAGAGACTGGTGGTCTAAACCTCGTGATGTATCAGCAGCATAGCAACGCTGTTCACCGCTTCCGCATTGACTACACTCCTCTCTGTCGATGCGGGAGAATGAATAACTCTAAATGTGCCATTACGCACAGACGACGGAGACCAACGCGCATTATACGATGTATATACGTGGTGGGATTCATGGTGAGTATCATATTTTGTATTTGCCAATGTTTAGAGGTATTCTTCATGCCATTGACCGCAATGACACATCACTTTAAGCGGCTGTCAGTAAGTTTAAATCAATGGGATGCCCCTGTTCTGCACTGTCATATTTTTAATGGCTCAAAAATGATTCCTAGTTCTTATTTTTTAACATTTAGATATTATAAAATCTTAATACACTTCTGAAATTGTTGTAAGACAAGAATGTTTACAAAAACTTAATGATATTCACCTGTGCTATCACATGACTTTTGAACAAGGTGTTTGAACAGGATCTATCTATCTATCTATCTATCTATCTATCTATCTATCTATCTATCTATCTATCTATCTATCTATCTATCTATCTATCTATCTATCTATCAGACTGCCTTAACATTATATGTTTTGTATCAGTAAGTTAGATATCTTGTTTCCCTGTCTGTGGATTTTTGGCATCAGCCATGATAAAGAACACATTGTCTCTCTCTTTTTCTTCTCCTCTTGACCAGTAGCTTTAGTTTAATAGAAAGTGCCGTGACACTGAACTGAGGTACGGTGTGACTTCAATCAAGTCTTTGGCTGGCATGACTGCATAACAGTTTAAAATCCAGATAAACAGGCTCAGGGATGGGCTTTTGTGTCTTGAGCTTAAATTGCTTGTTACTGTAAAGACCAATGACACATATTATTCGTTCATCTACTATCTGTGTTATTGAACTAATTTCACAAAACATGTTTCTGTTTTGATACAAATAAAAACATGTAAAGCCTCAGTAAAGAGTATAAACCTTTTAATCAAAACATTCATCTTTAACTGACAATTTATTGACTTGTGTAATTTAAAAATGCATTTAACATTAGTATGAACAACTATTAGACTCAAATAAGTTATAAATACAGGATGAATCCTAGGGTATGTTTGATTTCCTTAAGTATAAATCTATTTTTTTGTCTGTGTGTGTTTTCAGGACCTCTTTGGGGTCAGTATGATTATCCCTTTGCTGAGTCATCATGTAAAATATCTGGGAGCAAGTCCTACAGTGGCTGGGATTGTAGGTAAGTGTCATAATTTATTTTTTTTCGTTGCAAAAAAAACTTAATTTTTTACTTATTTTGAGTCCAGATCACTATACATTCTTATTTCAAAATGCATGTAAGATGTTATAATTTTTTAAAGTACTTTTTATGCACATTTTTTCATTTTTTTCTTAAAACTAAATAAAAATTCTGTCATTAGAGTGAGCAAAATAAGATCTAGCAAGATAAGTCAATCTAGGGCCATATATACTTGTAAAATAAAATAAAGTTTTGCAAACAAAAAAAAAATTTAGCAAAAAAATAATATAATAATAAATGCAAATCTCCAAAAATCGCAAAACAAAACTTTATTTTTGAGAAATCTAAATTTAATTCGATAACAAAAATAAAGAACTGCAATGGGAAAAATAAGTGAAATGAGAAAGTGAGAAATAAGAATGAAATTTGCAAACAAAAAATGAACTGCAAATAAAAATCAAGCAGTGCAAAAAAGAAAAGTAAAATATTTGTATATATTCAACTGTGAGTTTGCAATGCTGTTTTCCCTTTTTACTTCAAATTTCTGTGTGTTTTACTTTGTGGCCCTGTTTTGACTAAGTGAAATGCGCATAAACGTGAAGTGCAAAATGAAAACAGAATTGCAAACTCGCGATAGACTAAAAGCAGATCAAAATGAGCATGAGCAATGGTCTAAAAATGTTTTGCCAATGTATATATATTCTTTTTTTTATTGCAAATATATATATATATATATATATATATATATATATATATATATATATGAGCAATTCCATGAAAATGTCAACCTTATCATGAAAAAATAAACTTTTGACCAAAATAACAAAACCTATTTCAATTTGCTTATTAAGGTCTATATTTTATTGTTATGATGTGCTCTTGTTGAATTTTTAAGGAAATTGTTTTGTTTATCCATGAAATATGAGGATTGTGCCAATGGTAATTTTCATTATCATCCAACCACTTTTCGTGCTTTCAAAAAAGGGGTTAAAGACTCACCTTTTCCATGCTTTATGTTAACAGTAATCATTCTGCAGAAGGATTGGAGTCTGTAGTATAAATAATTATCCTTACTTTTTCATAACATTATTGCCCTTTTGATTTATGAGCTACATATTTAAGACATCACGCAGCTTCGGTCACGTGTCACGTCCGTAACGATTTAATGAAAAAGTTTATATTGTGGAATAAATATTATAACAAATAAAATGAAACTTTGTATACAAAGCCAAAATATGTCCATACTAATTATAATCGCCAACTCATCTCAGGTCTTTGCTCTAAACAACCACAATTTTGCGTTACGGACGTGACCATTTTTGAACTCCTTATTAATATAAGCCAATGACTAGCGCATATTTGTTCATTATGATGCTGCATTACAATTACTGACTTACATTACATAACATCCATATGTTATATCAAGAACTGAACATTTTTATTTAACTATAAACCACTTTAGTAACATTTCAGAAATAAATGTTTAATAAGAAAACAACATTTTACATATTGCCATTGGCCATAATGACTTAACCTATATTTCCTCCGTCTTACTTGCGGTTCATGTGCGCACGCGCTGCCTATAGTGAAAGATAATGATGAACCATAAGGCTTTGAACCTATACATTTTGTAAAGTATAGGCTAAGCATATAACAATTTTGTAATTTACATGTGATACTGCATTAATTTGCATACATGTTTTATAAGCTGTAAAATGAAAGCATCAGTTTGGTGCGAAGTTATAAAATATTTTTCTTTGTTTGATTTGTAGATTAGGCTATTTAAAATGTATATAAGAACCATTAATAGCTGTTATTTTCCAAATGGAAAAAAGGGTGGTTTGTTGATTGTAGTCTGCACTGAATCATGAATATGCCTAGTTGAGTTTATGACGCGGCTCCAGGCAGCACAGACGACCAGGATCAGCGCTGGTTCGTCAACTCCTGTGTCAAACTGTGGCCAGAATATCCTTCTTTCATTTTCCTTTTTTGGCAAAAAACATCTGTAAGCACGTGTGCTTGCACGTGTTACTGTCATGCGAGTAAACAAATATGTGTTGCTCATAAAAGCCGATCACAACGAACGCGCTTCTTTATTCCAGAGACGTGAGGCGCTCTGCAATGCATTTTATGTTGACAAGAAGAAAAGGAGCACGGTGCTCTTTTGAATGTCACTATAGATAACAACTGAATCAGCTGGTCTATTGTGCGCGAGTGTTGCTGTCAGTGTTTTCATAATTTAAATTTTTAAATAACATTATGAAATTCAAGATTTGTAAAGCCATACAACTTTGGATGACTTAAAACAGCGACCACAAGTCTCTCCGTCATTAAAAAGTTCGCCGTAGTCATCTTGACACTTCTGTCACCTCCAAGGAAACCCCGCCTCTGCTTTCGTTTGATTGAAGAATGAAAGACGCCACTGAGGTAACATGCTTTTCTTCTGGAGTGCACAAAGCGCGCAATGACAAAACGCGAGGCGCGCAAGGCGCATAATCAATAACCTCCATGCATTTGGTCTTTTCCCACTGCTCAAAATGCGCACGCCGCGGGTCAGGCCACAGCGGAGTTTTCGTTTCATGCAGAGCATAAATGTTTTTTATTTCATTAATTAAATAACTATTTATAAAGATAAATTATCAAAGTGACACAATTCATTTTCCAAGCCCTTTATCCAAAATAGCACTTTCAAAGCTTGAAAATTGGCTATAGCCTACATTAAAATTGAAACATTTTCAAAGATTTCCAGCACCCGGCAAATGCGCTTGAGTGCTTATTAAAATTATTTTAATAAGAATAAGAATAAAATAAGAATAAAATCTTGATATTGATCTAAGCTTTAACTACATTATATGAGTATTAAATTTGTTAGAAAATCGATAGGACCTGCAGCTGTAAATATTTAATTCAATATTACACAATCGGTTAACTATAGCCTAAAAATATAAACATTATAGTCATCCATCGTACATGCCTACAACCAATGACTATTTTTCTATGCTTGTTTAACATAGCCTACACAAAACCTTTCTTAAGTTTTAAAGTTTTCTCTCTCACCCTGGTGCGTATGAACTTTTTGCAACCTGTCCTGAAGTGACTGCCGACGAGAAAAAGAAAGCAAGCGCGAGTGGAGAAATTAAATTATTTATTCCATCAACTAACACGTTAACTAGAATAAACTAAAATAAACTTTGTCAAATATAATATTGCCATATCTGTGACAAAACTAGATTTTAAATATTCTCCACGTAGACACGGTCTTGCGCAACAGTCGGGCAATGATTTAATTCAAGTTTGTCTGGAAACACTAACTTTAGGAGCCTGCTAAACATAGGCCCATTATAGCTGATTATGTTTATTATAAATTCTATATTAGTCAGAGTATAAAAGCACCATGTTAGCATGCAACATTGTTACCGAATTGAGTTTTGAACATTCGAACGTGCGTTAACCTTTAACAACACACATGCCATAATACGAATTAAATAACAAGGTGATATCTATTTAAGTTTGATTAATTGTGCAACCTTACCATTCAGATGTCTCAGAGGTTAAAGTTTATTGGTTTACACACCCAACAGATATCCACAAATAGGTCTTTGGTCAAGTTTTGAAAGCATTTATCTGATTTTCATAATATGTCAACTGTCAATTTCAGAGCAGTCACGTCCGTAACGAAGACAAGTCACGTCCGTAACGATAGTTTTTCCTCATTAATGCAAAAATGAAAAACTAAATAAAATTAATTATATATGTCCCATGCAGAGCCAACCCTTATCCTTTTGACTGTTATATATATTTTTGGCTTCTGCATTTTCATTCACAGAATTTTCACAAAGTATGTCAACTCACAAAACTCATGTCTTTTTTTTGTCACGTCCGTAACGCATTCATTTTGCCGTCATTTTAAATATAAAACACCTGCATAGACTGATATTTTTTTGATGCCTGAACTCCATGGTTAAGGGGTAAGAAAAATATAAACATATATTTCAATATACTGTTAACATATACCTTCTCTGAGAATATACGTTTCATTTTTTTACTGCAAATGTCACGTCCATAACGCTGGAATCAGCCATATATATATATATGTATATATATGTATATATATATTTAGCACCTTTTTTTTGCAGTTCAGTTTTTGCCCTTTTTTTTTCATCACAGTGGAATGAACCGCCAACCTATCCAGCACATGTTTCACACCTTTCCAGCTGCAACCCATCTTTGGGAAACATCCATACACACTCATTCACATTCATACACTACAGACAATTTAGCTTACCTAATTCACCTGTACCGCATGTCTTCGGACTGTGGGGGAAATTGGAGCACGCAAGCTTGCAAGTTTGCAAAACTATTTTATTTCGCAAGTACAAAAGAAATAAAGAAAGAAAGAAACTCAAAGAGGTTTAAAGGAAGTAAAGGGTGAGTAAATAAATAGTGATTTTTAGACTAACTATTCCTTTAATAATATACACACAAAAGCCACTTTATTAGGTTCAGTTTAATAGTTTTGAGTTGAACACACTTTGCCATCAGAAGAGCCTTAATTCTTTGTATTGATCCAACAAGGGTGCTGGAAACATGAGTTTTTGGTTGATCCGGATTTGTCAGCTGTTCAGGCACGTGCTAAAGGATTAAAAGGAGCCCATTTGAGTTTAGTGAACTCACTGTCATGCTCAAGTAACCAATTTGAGATGATTTAAGCTTTGTGACATGGCGCAGAAGTAGTCATCATAAGATGAGTATACTGCATGTGGTGAGTGACTATAGTCACAGGTGTGCCTAGATTGTAACCACTGTTCATTCCAATGATCTTATTACCTGTTGCCTTTAAATCAGCTCAAACAAGTCCAGCCATTCTTCTTCTCTGACCTCAACTGAATTATTTATTTTTTTAGTAGAAAGGCACAATATATCAGGAGTCAATTTGATATCGGATAAATCAGATACATAGCAGATAAATGCTACTTTTCAATAAATGCATTTTTTCAATGTTATCATTATCAGTCTTACAAAGTTAGATTTTAAGTCGAGGAATTATGTATTCATTTCACTGGTGTTTTAATTTTGGTTAATTACTTTTTATTTATTTATGTTGCTTTACTTTTGTTTGTTTTTTGTCAGGAAGTACATTTTATTCATATAAGTGAAGTTTAATATTAAACTAATTTCAAAAGGAGCACGTGCTCATGATTGGCCCACCTGGCCCACATTTGCTAATCTCGATCCTCCAATCAAAGGATTCCAAGTCCCTATATATCCTCACTTCCTTTCTACAACTATCTTCATCTGGAAGAAACCCCCCTCCTCCCTTTCTTCCACTTTTATCCTGAATGGGTGGCCCAGTGACTAACACTGTTGCATCACAGCAAGAACACCAATGGCTCCGGATCCTTTCTGGGCCATCTGGTATTTCTGTGCGGAGTTTGTATGTTCTCCCCGTGTCCGCGTTGGTTTACCCCGTATTACCCGGTTTCAAATCAAATCACTTTTATTGTCACATCATCAGCAGCATGTGTGCAATGATGAGTAAAAAGCTTAGGTGTTAGCCCCAGTTTCCTCCCACTGTCCAAATATGCTTTATATTGTTGACAAAAGAAGAAAAATAAGTATTTTTTTCTAAATGTTTTACTCTCAGATAGTTCTACTTTGCCTCAGCAGCAGGGAATTTTTGAGATCGACCTGAGCTCAATCTCCCCTCGCCCTGCGAAAGGGAGGGAGCCCTGTACCCGAGGATCCCTTGAGCTCAGGGCTCTCTCCTGGGACAGCATGCCAAACAAGCGATGTATAAATCATGAGTTAAGTGTGAATTCTTGCAAAGAAAGATGGCCTTGAAAAGTTCGAGATCAATTTAAACTTTTCTGAAGTTAAAGTGTTAAAATAAAATCAGTTGTTCACTGTATGTGTTTATATAAAATGTATCTAACGGCTAACAGTGTGTTCAGACCGCTGCTTAAGAAAGTTTCTCTGGCTCTGGCCGTCCTGCTATTGGCACTCTGAGGATCCAATATATTTACATGTTTTTGTCTAAATAAATCAATTAAAAGCTGTTTTTGTAGTGAGGCTTTTGTGTTCATGTGTTTAAGTGCTAGTCTACATTCAACATGCTGTTTAAATAAGACGTTTAATAGCCTTGGTCGTCACGTTATTGCTAATTTGTGTGCATCCTACATTACAAACCGGGAAACCTGCTATAGCAATGATTAAACTCTGTGATTTGTTTTGCTTGGGAACTAATGTAGCCAGAAGGACTAACAAGTTCTGATAGGTTGCTGCTGAATCGTGTCATGGCTCAATACCAAAATGTTGTCTTGTTTTCAACTCTTGATGCTCACACTACCTAAATGCACCATGTAACTTTTGCTGGAGCCTGCAGTTGAAAATAAATGACTTTGGCTAATTTGACACACTTGCCGATGGTGGTGTGAATGCAGAGTAATACATTGGCAAACTGCCTCTACTTTTAAAGAGATTTTGATTATTGGTATCACTCAACGATTCCTTATTTTTGCATCCCTGTTTTTTAGACAATACTAGAGATGGTTGTGTATGAACATCAGCAGTTTCTAAAATAGTCAGAGCAGCCCGTCCGGCACCTAAAACCATACTTCCGTGGCCCCATGACTCTTTCATTTTAAAACTCTTGATTCTGATCATATGCTTGTTAACAGAGTACCCTGTGAACTGAACCATGTGTGTCAGATAAGTGAGATGCAGTGTTTCTGATTGATTAGTTTAAAGTTCAGATTGTCCTGTCTGCCATATGATTGGCTGATTAGATGTTCACATTAACCAGCCGTTGCTCTTTCTCACACTGTTTGAGAGTAGAACATTCTCAGATTATAAACACACAGAAATATAAAAATGCATGCTTTAAACATACTATATACACATTCGGTGACTTATGCTGGCTTTGGATTTAAGCTCTACATCAAGTTTAAAGAAGTACACAGAACTTAGTTGTGTTGTGAAAAATCTTATTGGTAAGAAAAAGACACCAATATTCAGTTAACAGTTTAAGTTAAAATAATCAGAGATGGAAATTCTTCCATGCAGGAACGTTGTGTAGAGCGCTGGGCAAAATAATTGTAATGTAATAAATATAATGTCATTTGTTTTTGTAAATATAGATATCCACATTTTTGCACATCCTTGGATTTTTGTACTTTTCTTGTCAACAGATGACTTCATAGGCATACCAAGCTGTAATTCTTAGGGCCAAGACAAGCATGTGTTTGAAATCACCAGTACATTGCCTGCACCTCGTCTCTGATTAAAAGGGCTGCTTAAAAATGGCCAATATAATGCCAATGAAAATCATCAGCTGAACTGATATTTTCACTTATTTCATAAGGCTGGCTGCTTGGATCACAAGGTCTTGTTCCTTTAACTGTTTGATTGTGAAACTAATATTATTTTTTGTTTTCTCCTTTGTCTGTTTTACGTTTTTGCAGGATCTACTTATGGTGTATTACAACTTTTCTCTAGCACTTTGGTGGTAAGTAGTTTTTTTTGTTTGTTTGCTGCTGTAATATGATCAAATAGCTACTCAATTCAAACTCTGAACCGGAAATTTCTGAGACTTTTATTTCAATATCTTAGGGTGCTTTCACACCTGTGAATCGATTCAGTTGTTCCGAAACAGGGATTAAAATTGTGACATTGTTGCTCTTTGCTCTTGGTGCGGTTCGCTTTCACACAGCAAAGTTTCTAAACGGACCAAAAGAGCTAAAACAAGTCACTTGTGAATAAACTCTCCTCACATTGGTCAGGGATTATTTTGCAGAGTCCCGCTTAGCTGTCAGGGGATGTAGTGTTTTGGTGGTGTTTGAAAAGGTGCGTGCGACCTGTCTGAAGAGCGAGGAGAGATGCTGTGGGGAGGGGTGAGATGGGTGCGCGACATATTTAAGGACTGTGAGGGAGACGTAAGATTACCGGGAGATTATCACTCGTTTGCGGACATCTGGGAGACTCCCAAAACTTCCCTACTCACACCCTACTCATAATTCGGATCGTATCGCTTTCTCACTGCAATCGATCTGCTCCAGAGTTTGTTTCAATCGAGCCGAGACCACCTCATTCAAGCAATCTCGGAGCAATTGATTTGGCCTGGATCCTAGCGCGATTTCTGGTTTCACATATGCCAAACGAACCGTGCTAACTGGGCAAACGAGACAGGTTCAAAAACAAAAGTGTAGGTGTGATAGCACCCTAAATGTACTTTCAAATAGCAATGGGCGATTAATCGAAAAGTAATCAAAATTGACATTCAGAACCTACAGTATAATCGATAAAGTTTTTCTAGGTCAATTTTTTCAATTACTTTCCCCACAGCATGTGAAGTCACATGACCCTGCTTCATTACGTTATTCCACCAACATATTGAGCATGGGCTTCGTAATTACTGAGAAAACACCAACAAGATCGGCTTGTACCAAAGAAAAAAGGCATATTTACAGTACAAAAATTGTCATTATAATAAATAAATCATTCATGGAACTCACGGTGGCACAGAGGATCGCCTCACAGCAGGAAGGTCGCTGGTTCGAGCCTCAGCTGGTTCAGTTTCTGACATTTCTGTGTGGATTTTGCATGTTTTCCTGTGTTGGCATGGGTTTCCTCCTTGTGATCCGGTTTCCACCACAGTCCAAAGACATGTGCTATGAGTCAGTTGAATAAGCTAAGTTGGCCATAATGTATGAGTGCAAGCAACTTTTCTATGGCCAGAGCCCAGCAGCATCCCCTTGATTCCACCATTTTGGAAGCGATCGGCCGTCTGTTGGATCTTATTGCTGTTGCGATGGCAAACAGCTGCTTTGTTTTTTATTTATTTATTTAAAAAGCGCATTAAAGCTGAGATAAAACCTAAAAAATGACTATACAACACTTACTGTACAATCACAAGACTGGCAATCATAAGCACTTTTAATAGTTTATTTTACAGACCTAATGTTTATATTTTAACCATACTTATTCTCCTGAAACTGTCACTTTTTAGTTAAATTACTTTAAATTACTTTAATTTAATAGTTTACACATTGGCATAATCTAAATTTAATACTGGCATGTTAAATTAAATACATGACTTTCAAAATAGGATGTTGATAACAGACTGACAGTACACGTTTTGTAGCAATATTATATGTTATAATAGTAAATAGTATTTTTTCTAGTGTCGTCTGTTGAAAGCTAGTAAAGCTTTTATGTAAAAAGCCACAAGGAGACGGAGTCAAGGGAACTTGAGAGTTTATGGCAATCCCGGGCCTACTGAGCTGTAAGACCACCTCGATGATACAGTGTCTCTGGGGGCCTCATGAACGAAGACCTGCATTTAATTCATACTAAAACATTGCGTACGCACAGTTAAATAGAGGCAGACCTGCCGTAAACACCCAAAGTCCCTTGACTCCGCCCTCTTGTCAAATCAGGGCCACAAAGTGAAACATGCAGAAATGTGAAGTGCATCACAAACTCACGGTGATATATATATATATATATATATATATATATATATATATATATATATATATATATATACAGTATATATATATATATATATATATATATATATATATATATATATATATATATATACATATATTTGCACTACTAATTTTTATTTGCAGTTCTTTTTTTGTTTGCAAATTTCATTTTTATTTATTAAAACTTTTTTTTCTCATTGCAGTTCTTTATTTTTGTTAGCAAAGTTACCTCTCAAAAAAAAAATTTGCTTTGCGATTTTTGGAGATTTGCATTCATTTATTTATTTTTTTTGCTCAATAATTTTACGATTTGTCTCCATGGAAATTAAAGCACGCATACCAATAATTGTTTGTTATAATCAACATACAGCAATCCTCAAACTGCATATGGCTTTCACGTCTTGAGTGCGTTACTGTAAAACTGGTCGTCATGTAACCGTTGACAAGCACACCGACACACACATATTTAAATTGGCTAAACCCTGAATGGTCACGGGTCTTGTTAAGAATTGAAGGAGATATTTGTCTTTTCTTGGATGTTAAGCATAGAGATAGCAGACAGGAACAGTAAGCCTCTATGGCATGCCTGTAGGCCAGATACAGAGAGAACATAGTAAATCCAATTTAATTTTTTATTGCATTACGGCAAGTGTGCGGTGTCTGCAGATCTGAATGTGTGTGCGTATGTCATGCCTCAGTTTAATGAGTGCTGGTATGGAGATGCCTGCAGTGTTTGCCTGAGGGCCTGAGCCGTTTCATTTGCCACGTCCGATCTGTCTGCCTCTAGGCTAAAAATTGGAGCTTTCTTGGGTAAAACATGCTTTCCTTTAATAAATGGCTAAGAGTCTGACTGAAAAGTGTTGCTGTGAATAAAAAATGTCTCAGTACATGATGGATGTCACTTAAGTTGGTGTCCTGAGACACTGCACAATGCATAAGTGCCCTCTAGTTTTGAAAACAAACAAAAATTCATGGGATGCTACACGTCGATCAGGTGAAACCTCTGGGTTTGCTGACATGAAATATTTTGGAGAGGGCTCTTTTGTTTAAATTAGCTGTTTTGCTACGATTAATCAAGGTTAGCTATTTAGCAAAACAAAGAGAATGGCTTACAGCATCTTAGATGCAAAATTGGTTATTGTTGTCCAATTCCATGTGTGCTGTAGGAGGACTTATTGTACAAATAATGAATGTAAAAGAATAAACTTAAGACCGATGCTTAATGGTTACTGAGAATTAATTGCATGTTAATTGCGATTCATTGAGATTGTAAATTAGGTTTAGTTAATATCAATCAGTTAGCAATTAGTTAGCAGTTAGCATCTTTAGCTTTAATTGTTGGCCTGTTTACCTTTACCCGTAGACCTATTTCACAGTTACTCATAAAAGGGAAATTCATTCATTCATTCATTTTCCTTCATCTTAGTCCCTTTATTCATCAAGGGTCGCCACAGCGGAATGAACCGCCAACTTATCCAGCATATGTTTTACACAGCGAATGCCCTTCCAGCTGCAACCCAGTACTAGGAAACACTTAAACACTCTCACATTCACACTCGTACACTGCGGCCAATATTTATTCATTCATTTTCTTTTTGGCTTAGTCCCTTAATCTGTGTTCGCCACAGCAAAATTAACCGCCAACTTATTTAGCATATGTTTTAAGTAGCGAATGCCCTTCCAGCTGTAACCTATCTCTGAAAAAAAAAACTACGGCCAATATAGACCTATTTCTTAGAACGCAAGATCACCCATTATGCTTTGCCTGTATGTGCAAGGAGTATGCTAAGATTTTCCGATCGGCAGCTAATGGGTATAAACAGTCCCATTCGAGCAGCTTTGAAACGATAGTTTTACTCTATTTTACCTGCTTTTATCATCTTTGGCCTAATACTGTTGTCCATCAGCACCACCTCCTGGACTGATCATTTAAAAAATTAGATCAAATGGGATGAAAAACAGCTGCTGTGAGGCATTTCCCCTCGTTGTCATGCAGCATCTTCTGGAGTTCAAATGAAGCCCCGTCATCGCTAAAGTCAACGTTTTCTCTCTCTTTCAAATATATAACCAACCCAAACAAATGTAGTTTACCAAAATGTTTGACACACACACACACACATAGCCTGTACTGTCCCACTGACACACTGATTTAATAACTGTGACAAAGTGAAAATATAGGCTAGTGTCAATTCGAAATGACAGAAAAACACAAACCGTGGTAAAAACGACACACTAAATGAAACATAAACGGCTCGCGATTAGAATGAAAAGCAAATCAGCCAGCAGAGTATCAATAATGGACTTTTATTGGTCATTTATTGTAAGTTGCATGACTTACATACTTGTTAAGTTTCATGCCAGTAATCTGGTTTGCTCTATGATGCAGTAATAATTGTGTGTGTGTGTGTGTGTGTGTGTGTGTGTGTGTGTGTGTGTGTGTGTGTGTGTGTGTGTGTGTGTGTGTGTGTGTGTGTGTGTGTGTGTGTGTGTGTGTGTGTGTGTGTGTGTGTGTGTGTTGCAGAGCCGCTGAGCTAACAGCTGACAGGCCGGGAACACACACACACACACTGTATTTGTATTTCTGACAGCAGACACGTAAACTAGGAGAACGTTTTCTCTCGCGCTTGAACCACATGAGACGGATTATAACGGCTTTAACAGACACCTTTCTAAGTTGTGTGTCACAAAAACATCCTGTAATCCATTAAAAACACTATTAAAACTCATTTTCGGAGCGCAAATGACCTATTGTAAACGCTGTAAACGGAAGTTCTAAGCCTTCTACCGGAAGCATTGGTCGCTATGGCGCCCTCCATGCAGCAGCCAAGAAAAAGGTCCAAGCTTATTCAATACGACATGTCTTTGGACTGTGGGGGAAACTGGAGCACCCGAAGGAAACCAACGCCAACACGAGGAGAACATGCAAACTGGTCCAGCTGGGAATCAAACCTGTGCTCTGCTGTGAGGCGACAGTGCTAACCACTGAGCCACCATGCCACTCTATAAAGTAATATTTCACCCAAAATTTGACTTTACTCAAAATGTACTCTCCCTTAAGTGGTCCCAAAACTTTGAGATTCTTTCTTCTGCTTAACACATTTTGATATCTTTGATGCAAAGATATTTTGAATAAACATGTAAATGTGTATAGTTACAGGTTTCCAGCTTTCTTTAAAGTGTCTTTTTGTGTTCAACAGAAGAAAGAAACATGTGAAAGTTTGAAACAAGTAAATGATGACAGAATTTTCATTTTTGGGTGAACTATCTTTTTATAAAATTACTGACATGAGTACTGCCAAATATTCTTAGGCATTTAGATTTTTCCAAAACAGTTTCTCTACCACGTTCCTGGAGGACCACCAGCACTGCATGTTTTGGATGTCTCCGTTGTCTATCACTCCTATTACAGGTTTTTCAGTCTCTGCCAATTAGCTGATGATCTGATTCAACTGTGTTTGGTTAAGGGGACATGGAAAATGTGAAGAGCTGGTGGTCCTTGAGAGTGGTTGAGAAACATTGTTCTAAAATACATTGTCATGTGTGTGTTATGTGTGTACATGTAAATGACACAGTTTTAATTACCATCTACAACTATGAATTGCAATTTAGGGAATGTAAAATATAGTAGTCAACATTTTGAAGTTCAAAAATCTTGATCAAAAAGGTTTTTCAAAATGATTTTAGGAAAACTTTTGAAAGGTTTTGATTCACTTCAAATGTTGACTACTGTATATCCACTTTCAGTCCAAATAATATTACATATCACAAATTATATTAATATTCATTCATTAATTCTCTTTTCGGCTTAGTCCCTTTATTAATCTGGGGTCACCACAGTGGAATGAACCCCCAACTTATCCAGCGTATGTTTCTTACGCAGTGGATGCCCTACCAGCTGCAACCCATCTCTGGCAAACATCTATACACACTCATTCACACTCATACACCACGGACAATTTAGCCTACGTGCCAGGCATGAAAGCTTGACAGGTGTAGCAACAGTAACTAAGGAGGGTGGGGCTTAGCTAAGGGTTAATTAAGCCTACCCAATTCACCTAAACCACATGTCTTTGGACTGTGGGGGAAACCGGAGCACCCGGAGGAAACCCATACAAATGCAAGGAGAACATGCAAACTCCACACAGAAACACCAACTGACCCAGCCGAGGCTCGAACCAGCGACTTCCATGCTGTGAGGCGACAGTACTACCAATGCGCCACCGCGTTGCTCAGTCTTAATGTTCATTTATTAATTTTCTTTTTCGGCTTAGTCCCTTTATTATTCTGGAGTGGCCACAGCGGAATGAACCGCCAACTTATCCAGCACTTGTTTTATGCAGCGGATGCCCTTCCAGCTGCAACCCATCTCTGGGAAACATCCATACACACTCATTTACACTACGGACAATTTAGCCTATCCAATTCACCTGTACCACATATCTTTGGATTGTAGGGGAAACCGGAGCAACGGAAGGAAATCCACACGAACGTGGAGAGAACATGCAAACTCCACACAACTAACCCAGCTGAGCCCCGAACCAGCGACCTTCTTGCTTTAGCGACCTACCTACCATATATTGCATGTATTTAAAAATGTATTCCACTGTCTCATTGGCAGGGAAGTTGGAGTGATGTGGTTGGGAGGCGCTATTCACTACTGACGTGCCTTTTGCTGAGTGCCTTCGGATATGGCCTGCTGGGTCTGTCCACCAGTATTGCGCTCTTTGTGCTGGCCAGGATACCAGTGGGTGAGTACTGAACAGTTCTGGTTCAAATAGCAAAATATAGTATGCATTAGTGCTTGAAGTCACACATTAATGGGATTTTGCTTTCTGTGGAAAGGGCTCTTCAAGCACTCACTGTCTATCTGCCGAGCGCTGCTGTCTGATCTTGTGACGGAGAAAGAGCGTCCTCTAGTGATGGGCCACTTTAATGCCGCCTCAAGCGTGGGCTTCATACTGGGACCCGTGGTTGGTGGATCTCTTACTGAACACGAGGGAGGCTTCTACTTATCCTCATTCGTCTGTGCTGCCATTTTCCTTCTAAATGCAGGTGAGGAAGACAGTGTGGTTACACGAATAAAGGAAAACAACTTAGAAGTATAGACAAGTATAAAGAAACCTAATGTTTTCTGAGATCGTGTTTCAGTTTTTTTGCGATGCAATAAATGGTTTGCCTAAATGGTCATCCTCATTTCATTCCCAAACACCAACACTTTCTTTGACTAATTAAAAAATAAAGAAATGTGTAAAACTGAATGTGATTGAAATGTTCCTAAGGATTGGATTTTGAAATTTCATAAGCAATCATGAAGGTGCTAAATATATATATAGACATTTATTTAATCTGTTTTGATGCTTGAAAGTTTTAGTCTTTGATCATTACGCTGTAATTTGCATGTCAATTGCTAGTAAATTAAAGCATTTTAATATGATACAGGGCGACGCAGTGGCGCAGTAGGTAGAGCTGTCGCCTCACAGCAAGAAATTTGCTGGTTCAAGCCTTAGCTGGGTCAGTTATTCATTTCTGTGTGGAGTTTGCATGTTCTCCCTGCGTTTGAGTGGGTTACCTCCGAGTGCTCTGGTTTCCCCCACAGCCCAAAGACATGCAGTACAGGTGAATTGGGTAGACTAAATTGTCCGTAGTGTATGAGTGTGTATAGATGTTTCCCAGAGATGTGTGGAAGGGCATCCGCTGCGTAAAACATGTGCTGGATAAGTTGGCGGTTCATGCCGCTGTGGCGACATCGGAATAAAAAAGGGACTAAGCCGAAAAGAAAATGAATGAATGATATGATACACATTATACTGTATTTAATAAATTCAGTTTGTAAATGCAGTTAGCTGCCTAGAATTTTTAATCCACTCAAGTAGAAGTTGGTGGGCACAAGTATGTTAGTGAGCAGATAAAAAGCTAATTACAGCACAACTAAAATGGTTGATTTAAAATGTCTTTTTAATGTGATATTAATATAAGGTGCACTTTCTGAAAGTCATCTTAAGTATGTTCAAGCTGTAGTTTGTAACTTGTTTGAATTTAGTGCAAGCAACCAGTCAGTGTTTAAAACCGTCTTTACCTTAGCCTGATGGTCACAATGGTTAGCTTGTAATAATGCTTTATAATTTGAGTGGTGGGGCTGCACGGTGGTGCAGTGGATGACACGGTCACCTCACATCAAGAAGGTCACTGGTTCAAGCCTCGACTAAGACAGTTGGCGTTTCTGTGTGGAGTTTGCATGTTCTCCCTTTGTTCATGTGGGTTTCCTCCGGGTGCTCCGGTTTCCCCCAAAAGTCCAAAGACATGTGGGTTAGGTGAATTGAGTAGGCTTAATTAACCCTTCGCTAAGCCCCGCCCTCTTTAGTTACTGTTGCTACACCTGTCGAGCCTTCATGCCTGGTAGGTCTTTTTAAATGTGTATGTGCCAGTGTCACACATTCAGGATTTAATTAGTCATTTTGGCGAACAGGTGAGATATCCAAGAAAGCCAGACAAAAAAGAACTGCAGTATACGTTACAAGGGTATATTCATGACAAATATTCACGAATAGGCAACCAATTACAAATTAATTCGGTCCCACTTTATATTAAGTGTCTTTAACTACTATGTACTTGCATCAAAAAAAAAATAAATACAATGTACTTACTGTGTTTATGATGTATTTGAGAACACTTGTGGTGCTTTTGAGTTGGGATAGAGGTTGGTTTATGGACAGGTTTGGTGGGGTGGGTAGGTTTAAGGGTGGGTTAAGGTGTAAGGGATGGTCAACAGTGTATTTACAAATGTAATTACAAAGTTAACTTCAGATGTAATTACATACTTGTATTTAATCAAGCATAAGTACACAGTGAATACATGTATTTACACAATAAGTACATTTTAACAAACTATTATTTCCTGTGTAAGTACATATTAGTTAAGGCCACTTAATATAAAGTGGGACCATTAATTCAATCAAAATTGAAGCTAGCTCAGCCTAGCCGCCTCATACCTTGATCATTCAACAGATTAGTTCATCCACAGCAGGAGAGGTAAAATTTAAAAATAATCTAATAATAACAAATTAAACCGTGATTTTTCTATTTTTTGCCAAAAAGCCTGATAGATTTATTGTTGTGCAATGAAATATAGCATTACTAACCGACGAGGAAACAGGCATGGACAGAGCTTTTACATAATTAATGACTTAAAAATAGCTGTGAGGCAGCATTGCTAAACACTGGGTCACCGTGCCGCCCTATAAGGGTAAGGGGCAGTAGAGGGGGTGGAAGGGGGGATTCTTCAAGACAAAATGAGTGAAGTGAAAAACTCTGCTTATTTATAGTGAGTTAGTATTCATCTAATTGATGCATTAGGTAAAGCTAATGCGTGACCAGACGTAATCAATTATAAAAAAACAACAGAAAAATACATATTTACTTCTAGAACACTTGTTTGCAATTCAAATAAAAGGTCACATGCAGTACATCCAAGTGCACTACTTCTTCATAACTAACCCCTTCAAATATTTACTACAAATAAAGCAGTCTACTAATTCAGATGCTGTCTTTGTAGGTTTGGTCTGGATCCTACCATGGAGTGAGACACTTAATCACTGTATTGATGCAAACGCTAACGGCAAACCCAAAACCAGCAAAGCCTACGACAGCCTAAATAATTCTGTCCAGCGGAACTGCTCAGAAAAAAACCACCTCCGGCATCCAGACGCATCAGCAGTTGGCAGTAGGGAACATGGGGGCTGGAGCTGGACGAACATGTCCATCGTCCAGCCTGCCTGGAGACAATTAACCTCAGTGTGGATTCGCATCCAAATGGTGGCATCCTCAGACATGTGGGACGTCTTCCTAGTGCGCCTTCTTATGGCTCTAGCCATAATGCTATACTACAGTAACTTCTCCTTGGCCATGGAAGAGCGTTTTCAACTCAAACCAAAGATCACAGGATATCTGATCAGCTACAGCAGTATGTTGGGAGCCCTTGCTGGGTTTTTAGTGGGCCCCGTTACAAACCTATATGGTAGCAACATGTCTGCTTTATTATTGCACTCTACTGTACTCACCTGCACTTTGATCTTCCTATATGCAGCTGCACCAAATGTATGGCAAGTTGTGCTTACCTCCACATTTTTTGCCATTTCTACCACAATCGGACGCACTTGCATCACCGACTTGGAGCTTCAGCGTGGAGGATCCCAAGCTAGTGGGACGTTAATTGGAGCAGGACAGTCAGTCACCGCTGTGGGACGGGTTTTGGCACCACTTCTTTCTGGATTGGCTCAAGAATTCAGTCCATGTGGACCTCCTAGTTTGGGGGTCATATTGGCACTTTTAGCTGTGGGTTTGCTACTCATGAGGACTCCTAAATGGCACAGCAAGACTAAGGTTAAAGACAAGAGTGCCTAACAGTCAAGTGATCAGCACTCAAACTGAAAGAAAGACTAAGGACTGTAATGGCAGCAGTCTTTTTTTCTCTCAGGCGATGTGAAGTATTGGATCTGTATACCAGCTACTGAATGTCAATGTGAGACGTGTTCCTCCAGGGTGCCGTGCTAAAAGAAGGCAACTGACAGAGTCTTAAAAGATAAATGTTTATATCAGAATATTTTAAAAGCACCCGATATGGGATATTCGTTGCTTCCTGGCCAAATTTTGGACTAGTAGTCACTTATAAATTATGAAGGATACTACTGATTGACTTCCAAGTTGTTGGAGGGAGAAATGTATCTTCAAGTACATGGAGTTTACCTCACGGTGGCACTGAGCCCTTTAAAACCACTATTCAAAATGCTTCCCAATTGTAGTTACCCCAGAGTCTAGCAATAATGCTTTCTGTAAACCAGAGATTTGAGAAAATACTGGGTACACTACCATCACAATATTGGGGTCAGTATGATTTTAGGTTTCATATAAATGCTGTTGTTTTGAACTTTCTATTCACGAAAGACCACAGAGTTCCCTTTTGAGGGAGCTTGTTGTGCTGCATCAGAAGTGACGACATTTCAGGGGAAAAAAACTGCATAATTGCATCATGAGGCACTTGTAAAATCAGTCAAATAGTGTTGCAGGACGTGGTACATAACTACCCTGTACCTGTGAACCTACCCTGTGCCAATAAAGCACACCCTTTAGACGCCACCACAAGACGGGTTGCTCGAAGGAAGCCAAGCAGGGTTGAGCCTGGTTAGTATCTGGATGGGAGATCACACTGAAAACAAGGTTGCTGTTGATGCTTGTGAGGGCAGCTGTGTTTACCTTAAAGTCTCTGTGGGTTCTAAACAATGACTGTAAAAAATAAGGACGATGCGACAGCCCTTTTTCCCATTGAACGCCTTGAGGGCAAAACGCCTGCTTGACGGGCACAAACTGACGCAAAAGACTGCTGAAATTGGAGCCTTGACATGCGCAGAAGGACTGTCTGATGGAGCCAGAGGAGGAGCCGCGAAAATGAGCGGAGTCGAGCTTCCAACCAAACGCGTTATGTAAAATCAACCACGCCCCCCGAACTTCTCAGCATGCGTTTGCTGTCATATCAACACAAATGGATGTAATAACGTTAACAAATATGAGGGTTTTATATATTCAATCGTGCCAGCTCCGGGCCGCAGCGCATAACCTACTCGCGGCATCGCGGGCTGATTCCGGCTCGCATGCGGCAGCGCCGGCTCGCTCACCGACGCATCTGGCTCGATTGACTCGGGCTGGAATCAGGCAGTGAGTCCAGGCATCCGGAGTAGGTCCAGCAGAGGTAGTCAGTCTGAGCTCTAAGGGATAAGTCTCCGGCAGGCGAGAATCTAGCCGGAACTGTGTTTTGCTATCTGGGTGGTTAGGCGTGTATCAGCAAACTAATAAAGCCCGAAAAAAGCCCTGAACTTAGCGAATAAAAAGTGTTCCACCAGGATTATGTATGTCAGAAACTATAGTTTACTGCTGAACTCATTTTGTCATGGTAAAATAACACAGAAATCGAATAATAACATTTCAGTCTCCTGCCGAAGCTCAGACGCGCTTCTTTGAGAAACTATCAATCACAGCTGTCAATCACGATGACACGCCCAGCATTAAATTACTGCTAAAAACAAACTGTTTACAAAAATGAGGATCTGCACCTATTTCAGCACAATAACCAGTGCCTTAATCGACCAGAACCATCTTTCGGGACATTTTATTGCAAGTGTAATAATTTTTTTTATTTGGGCTCAAGTCTCCTTCATTAACACGGAGGAGGCGGGCTTTATGACTTGTACTGCAGCCAGCCCCCAGGGGGCGATCTAACGGCCGAGACCTTCACTCAAACGCAGGCTTGCGGCACACTTGGTTCTAAAGCCCCAGTTCATTGGGGAGACATTGGAGGTCCTGACTTTGATCATCAAACATACCAAGACAATTCTTGTAAATATTAGGGGTGTAACCCTAGTGTCCTGGCCAAATATCCTTACAAATCGATCCCTACTCATCATGGTCTCCCAATCATCCCCATCCACTAAATTGGCTCTATCACTTCTCTCCATGTGCAGCTGGTGTGTGGTGAGTGCCCTGGCACCATTGTCCTGGGGCTGCAGTCGCATCATCCAGGTGGATGCTGCACACTGGTAGTGTTGTGTAGAGACTCTCTTATGTAATCGTAAAGCGCTTGGGTGTACACATGGCCCTACATGGCATTACACAATAAATCTATAAATGCACATTATTTATTGTATCTTCAGCATGCACTCTGTGTAAACTGGATGTCTATTTAGTATTTGTCTTGCATAAGCACATAGAGCATCATTATATTCAGACAAGCTCTGTGTTGAGTGCATAGAAGTACAGCCAGCTTGCTCAGCTCTTGAGGGAGCTGACTGTTAAATTATGATAAACTCTCTCGAAAGAGTAATCCACTCTTGCCGAGTGCTCCTTGAGGAGGGCAGTCTGTAAGACCTTACTGACTGTTCGTTCTAGCTCGCACTGAGGTACAGTGGTGATTTGCATATTGCTCTTTCTTTTCCCTCCCTAGTCCCTCCAATTTGTCCTGACTTTCATAGAGGATGAGTATGGTTATGAGTCGACTCTTAGTAATGAGGAAAATCTGACCTGTCATTTAGTGCCTTACTTGCCATCGATGCTTAAGGCCCTGACATTGCGCTCCGGACCACGAGAATGGTCATCAAGTTTGGGGGGTAAAGAATATCCAGTAGCAGTTCTGGCTGGTAGTTGCCTCCATACTATGGCAATATTACAGACATTCCACGTTGAAATGATGGGGAGGGAGTTGGCCCAAATGCTATTGAAGAGTTGTATTGGGCCACAGGTCTGTCTCTCGAGGAGGCCGCCACATCAATCAGGCACTCTATGGCAGTCCTTGTGACATGAGAGAGGGAGGTAGATCAAGTTTGTTGGATGCTCCAGTTAAACATCTCAGTCTTTTTTTATAACTCTGAATAAAGTCATCTACACGATCATCTCAAATCTAATCCATGGATCAGTTTATTGAGATAGATCTCAAGGACATATATTGAAATTAATTTTATTTACACTTAATCAAGGAACAGACAATTTGTAGACAGGGACTGATTTCCAGGGAATAGAGACTTCACACAGCTCTTTGGGAAAGGTTCAGTCAAATAAAAGTGGATCTGATTACCTCAAAAGTAGCATGCCACTCCTCCACTGTTGTTCTCCCTTATGCATTCAGTTCCAATAGGGTAGGATGCCATGGTACAACATCTGAATGCCTTTCCCCCTATCAGAAGATTCCTTCCATGAAGGACCTTCTGTTGGCAGGCAGCACAGTCCTCCACCCAAATCTGTGGAAGCTGTGGGTTTAGCCCCTGAAGGGGGCCAACTATCATAAGCTCTGGTCTGTCAACTGAGATATTTTTACTCCACAGCCCCAACCAGAAGGAAATCGTATTCTGTAAGGTGAATCATTGTATCTTCTTGGTGCTACGAGCACCATTTTGACCCAGTCAACTGCCCAGTTGGTACAGTGCTGGAATTGTCCACAGGATCAACTACTGTAGCTCTATATTAAAGGCTTTTGTGGTGGCCATATCAGCCTACCATGTAACTTTATGTTGTGAATCTTTAGGGAGGGGTTCTTTAAATGCATGTTTCAACAACTTGTTGTGCCTGGTCAAAGAACTACATGTTTATGTCCACAGAGCTGCTGGTGGTATAAATATGAGCAATTGTTAAAAACAAAGGTCCACTGCCTCCAAACCAACATTAATCGGGTGTAAAGCTTGCAGACAACCTTCACCTTACATAATAAGGGCACACTCACCTAAAAGACTTCAAAAGCCTTGTTTTCAGGGGTGTCCCTACAGGGGTCTACCCATTACAGATTTGTAAGGCTCTATCAACTGGACCTTACTAGGACTAAGTATTAGGGTGCTTTCACACCTACACTTTTGTTTCGGAACGTGTCTCGATTGCCCAGTTAGCGCGGTTCGTTTGGCATATGTGAACAGGGCAATCGCGCTCTGTTCCACGCCAAAGTAATCGCTCCGAGATCGCTTGAATGAGGTGGTCTCGGCTCGATTGAAACGAACCCTGGAGCGGTTCGATTACAGTGAGAAAGCAATCCGATCCGAGCGCGGTTATATCACAGTGTTTTATGGATATGTAATAGGCATACGGCCATATGAAGAGAGAATTATCAGCATGGCAGGAAGTTTCACGAGTCTTCTGATGCCCGCAAACGAGTGATGATCTCCCGGTAATCTCGCTTCTCCCTCCCGGTCCTCAAATAGGCTACGTCGCGCACCCTTCTCACCCCTCCCCACCGCATCTCTCCCCTCAGACACATCGCGCGCGCACCCTGTCAATCACCACCAAACCACCACCTCTCCTGACAGCTGAGCAGGACGCTGCAAAATAAACCCTGACACTCTGACCAATGTGAGGAGAGTTTACTCTCACGTGACTTGTTTTAGCTCTTTTGGTCCGATTAGAAACTTTGCAATGTGAAAGCAAACCTCTCCAAGAGCAAAGAGCAACAATGTAACAATTGTAATCTCTGTTTCGGAACAACTGAATCGATTCACAGGTGTGAAAGCACCCTTAATCTCTTGATAATGCATAATATACAGTACAGGCATTGTCAGTACAGAGAAGTGGGTGTTCTCCTTCCCAAAGCTTTGTCACTTCTGATGCACAGCAAGTTCCCTAAAAAGGGAAAGTCTCAGGCTCTGCATACCATGCTTCCCTAAAAAAGGAAAGAGATGCTGCATCCCTTTGCCATACTTTCTACATGCCTCTGATTGACTTGCTTCAAAAATCTATGCGCTCTATTGTTTCCAGGTTACACTACATCATGATGTCCTGCAACACAGTTGGACTGATTTTACATGTACTTAGTGCCATCGTGCAGAGGAAGTGTCATCATTTCCAACACAGTAGCTGCGTCTGAAATCACATACTTCCATACTATACAGTACGCTAAAAATAATATGCTAGCCGAGTAGTATGTCTGAATTTGAAACCAAGGGAACCATGGTTGCATATTTAACCTGAGATATTTCCACAAACATCCCACATAGCTAAATATCTCTGGCCTAGCTCTGGCCCACACAATCTGCTTTTGCTTGGCCCACATGCCGCAGTGACATGACTGGACCAAGTCTGGCTTCCAGACAAAGGCCAAAGAAGGACCATATCTGGGCCAAGTCTCAGCCAAGTTAAAAAGCCATAACTGAGCCTGAACTGGGCCAGAAATGTTGGTTTGTCACGACTGCAATTGAAATTGATAAACCCATGAACTTGTGTGCTTCAGGCACACTTAGGGGGGTGATTGGTAGAGTTTATTTATTTTTAGTTGAAAATAATAACAAGGTTTTTTTAAATTTGGGTCAAGATAGGCCAAGCGGACATGGGCCACATATGAATCAATAACATCTGGGCTAAATATTACAATTTATACTTGGACAAATTATTGTGTGCCACCTTAAAGACGGCATCACCTCTACCAAATTAGAACCATGTTTGGTCCACATACTGTATGCCAGTGCCGGATGAATGCCTGCGGTGCCAGATTTATGCCAAATCTGGGCCAGAATTCTTTGCTACCTGGGATATTGAGGAGCACTACTGTCAAGATTTCAGCAGAGACTTCAGTCAAGCATTGCAAAATCTTGTCAACCCCCAACTTTTGTTGTTTATATGTGGGAAATACTTTCACAGTTTTTATTTTTATTTTGAGTCGTTTTTTTTAACATAATCCAAATGTTTATTATGTATTAACAATTGGTACTTTTGTAGGTTTTTTATGTTGTTAACATCAGCAACAGTGTTTTCACTTGTGTTGACGAAAATAAAAGAAGCCGGAGCCCACACAAAATCTTGGTTTGATGTAATTTCTTTTATAGTGTTTCTTTTATAGTGCTTTATTTTACGTACAATGACATCGTTTCATAAAAACTTGCAGGTTTTTTCATGTTCATTTCATTGTCACAAAATTACCATACATTTCTATTTTTTATAATAATATACTAAAATATTTGTGCGCATTTACTTTCATTTCACAACAAGATGAATACACATCCAAATAATGTTCTTTTAACTTTCATGGTCAAGTAAAAAAAATGTTAAAATGTGCAAAAAAGATAAAGTTTTTGTTTAATTTGCCTTATTTATATCGGTAACACTTTATTTCTATGGTCCATTTGAGTATTAATAGACTGTCTGCTTAATATCTGTTGATACTGCTCCTTCAACAGACATTTAACTGACTATAAGAAACAATGCAAGTGCATGTCAATTTATACTAATCCCAACCTATCAGTCTACTTATAATCTAACAAGAATTAGTTGACATGTAAATGCAATGTAAAAAACGAACCATCAAAATAAAGTGTGACCTTATATTTAGAGTGAGTAATGTGGATTTAGTGTCATGGAAAGCTCTATTGTTTATATTTGAGCAGAATTTTGTTTAACATGGAGAACGTTCTTCCCTTTCTCACACGTAGACTTCTTTTGCATTGTTTACTTCGTTTCAAAGTAGTCGGATCAAGTAATGTCAGGTCAGCTGCTTTAAAAGTATGATCACATTGTTCATGTGGTTTCTGTCGCATCTACTGTGGTTTTCTCATCAGGGGATGTTGGACATCACTGTTGTTTTGTGGTTCCTCTGTCCATCCATGAGGAGACAAGCTCGACTGCTGCTCTTCAAAGTCTGTGTCCCTACAGTTTCTAGATGTGCCATAATACTGACGTGAGGTTTGATGTCCTGAATGTCTGAATTTTGACCTTGGATGTGACATCTTGTAAGGAATTTCTTCATTTGGTTCATTATCTTCCCTCAGATCGTTCAGCGGCCTGAGAGGAATCCCTGCTTTAGATGACGATCTCCGCTGATGCCTGAACGTTGATCTGTTTGATGGATACGCAGTCTCAGATTCAGCATCAATGTGGTCTGAAAACACAACAATGCATGTTACTATCCACTATAATCAGGGTTATGAACAAAAATAACCAGAAACACTAGTATTTTCACAAGGTAAAAATGGTTCACCAGCAGGGAACTTACTTGCCTGACAATTTTAACGCAGGATATGTTACAATTTTAATGTGTTTGTTTTTAAACATGTAGATATTTGCATATCAAACCATTTGCATGTAAAAGTGTAACCTGTATTTTTCTTTAAAAATATCCTATTATCAGTGCTTAATGACTGATAATGCGTCATTCTGTGATAACAACCTGAAGGACACAGCCTCATGCTGCGTTCACACCCGACGTGGAACGCACGTCAAGCTAGAGTGATTTACATATTAAGTCAATGAAAACGTGTGAATAGACGTCCTGCGGCGCGATACACGCGAATGGTGCGGCGCGAATGACGCAAATTGCGCGAATGGCGCGGGGCGAATTGAGCGTTTTGCGCGTTTGACGCACTTAACGAGCGTTTCGCGTGAATCTATTGATTTAGAAAATCTGAACTTCAGCGTACATTCGGGCCGCGTTAACCAATCAGAAGCTTGCTCTTGTGGGGGCATGATTGTGACGTAGAACCACAGTTTATCAAACTCGGCTTGGCTCAGTCAGAAGCACCGCTGAAAGCCTCCGTCATCCAGGTTCAGTTTCTGGAGGAGTTTATGAGCTTAAAGAGCTGGATGCGCCTCTGAAAGGATATAGTGGACTCAGACACGACCCTAAACGTATCAACGATGTTTTTCAGTCTTCATAAAGCACATAAACACTTTTATTTTCTTCATAAAATCCATGTTAGCCATTTAGCTATGAAGCTAGAGTCACCGGGCAGACAGAAGCCCTGCCCATCACGCGAATCCACGTCTGTTCTGATGTGAATTTGACACGTGAATGAATCGGGGTTTGGTGCGCGTATGAAGCGAGTAAACTCAAATGTTCACGCGGCTATTTAAGCGCGAATAGCGCGATTTATCCGCGTCTGGTGTGAACACAGCATCATGCTTCGCTCACACCAGACGTGGAACGCGTGTCAAGCGTGAGTGATTTACATGTTAACATGTGATTTACATGTTGCGCCTTTGACACGCCTTTGACACGCTTAACGAGTGTTTCGCATGAATCTCTCGAGTTCGAAAATCTGAACTTTAACGGACATTCGCGCCGCGTAAACCAATCAGAAGCTTGCTCTTGTGGGGGCGTGATTGTGACGTAGAACCTGTTGATGGTGTCCCGGGGGAAATCCTCCAGGCGACACCGACAACAAGTCATCAAACTGGGCTTGGCTCAGTCAGAAGCACCGCTAAAAGTCTTCGTAATCCAGGTTCAGTTTCTGGAGGAGTTTATGAGCTTAAAGAGCTGGATGCACCTCTGAAAGGATGTAGTGGACTTAGACAGGACCCTAAACGTATCGATGCTGCTTTTCAGTCTTCATAAAGCACATTAACACTGTAATTTTCTTAATAAAATCCATGTTAGCCATTTAGCTATGAAGCTAGAGTCACTGGGCAGACAGAAACCCTGCCCATCACGCGAATCCGCGTCTGTTTTGAAGTGAATTTGACGCACGATTGAAGCGGATTTGACGCATGAATGAAGCGGGGTTTGACGTGCGAATGAAGCGAGTAAACTCAAATGTTCACGCGGCAATTTACGCACGAATAGCGCGATTTATCTGCGCGTTCCGTGTCTGGTGTGAACACAGCATCAGAATTCCCCAAATTCAGTAGATGCAAATGCTAATGTTAAACCCCAAACCAGCAGGTCCTACAATGGCATAAACTCAGTCCAACAAAACTCCTCAGACAAGAAACGCATCCACACACATAAGCAGTCCACATTCAGGTCGCCAGAGCTGGAGGGACATGTATATAGCCTGCCACCACATCAGAAAATTTAATAAATAAGGTCTGCTGGTCTTCTGCCTGCCACTAGAAATGCACACTGTCTTCCTTCATCATGGCCATGTACAGTAGGCTAATCCATGCTCTTTTGTTGTACGCATAGAGGCTGTTTCCTGCTTATTTTCCACATCATTATGGTCTTAAAGACCTTAAGTTCTCCATTCAGCACCAGTGTTCAATTCCTCTGCACTTTTTGTTTGTTTTCATTATCATCAATGGACTTCATTTCTCATGATCCCATAGATTTTCATGGCAAGAACTAATAGACCTGGTTTGGGTTAGAATGTTTCCTCTCACCTGGTAGGTAAAAATAAATCTCGCTTTTTCATATCAAACCTTAGGTTGGCATTGGGAAGAGACAAATACAAGGTCCAACTTGTACTAGGGATGCAACGATTATAAATTTTGGTTGTACGTTTATAGTCATTATCAATGTTTGTAATGTAATGGGCAGCACAAATATCTCAGGCAGAACTCTCGTATGCACCCCTTACTGAATGGAACCCCAAATCATAATTTTTCCTTCACCAAACTTATGTGAATCTTTGGGTCAAGTGTCTTCCAATAGGTCTTCTGCGTTATTTGGTTGATTGGGATGCAATTCAACAGATGATTCATCTGAAAAAACTATCTTCTGTCACTTTTCCAAATGAACTAGAAGTCAAGTTATTATTTGGTGCTCTTGTAGCTCCGCCTTGTGACCTTCCGCATGGGAGTCGGTTGCTCTACCAAAGAGGCTAAAGACCATGGCCTCTAGCGTCTGTCGCTAGAGCACCTTTAGAGGTCAGAGGAGTGAGGTTTACCTGCACATCACTTACTAACTGGCCTCCAATACACCTACCCCCCTAAACCTCACTCCCATCCGGGTCACGGCACCAATGTAACCCCATCGGTTTTACACCACCCAACCTGTTCAGAGCTGGTATTGAACCGATGACCTTCCGTATGGGAGTCGGTTGCTCTACCAAGAAGGCTAAAGACCATGGCCTTAGCATCTGTTTGGCCTCCATTACACTCTTACAACTGGGGTCGCCGACAAGACGTCAGGTAGTGTACTGTACCTTCAAGTTGAATGTAAATTAAATGAATGTGGATTCTGCAGTCCTGTGTAAAGCCTGTAGAATCTTACTACAAGGACCAGAGTCAAATGGAAACCGCTCGATGATGTTATCTGTCATCAATAAAAACCATGTATTCTCTCACCAGTATGTCGGAATCTTCCTGGAGGAAATCCAGAGTTTAAACTCTGACCCACCGGCAGAGAGGAAAACTTGTGGGACGTATTTGCTGAATTCTGGTGAAGCAGAAGAGAAGAGCAAACGAATGGTCAGTGACAGAAAATAAAACTTTCATTTCCATACTTACAAGTATACACACTGTAAATATAGAAAACTGCATTGTGCTCTGATGTTAAGGCCCAATCCCAATTCTATTTTTTGGTAACACTTTATTTTGATGGTCCATTTGAGTATTAGTAGACTGTCTTCTTAATATCTGCGGATACTGTTCCTTCAACAGACATTTAACTGACTATAAGAAACATGTCAACTTACACTAACCCTAACCCCAACCTAACAGTCTACTAATAATGTAATGAGAATTGATTGGCATGTAGATGCAACGTAACAAACGGACCATCAAAATAAAGTTTGACGCTATTTACCCCTTCCCCATGGCTATTGAAACAGAGTTTGAAGGGAAAGGGCTTCGAAATTTACCCCTAAGAAACGGGACAGCACTACAGCACCTGCACACATCATCATACGTCATCGCGATCTCTGTTACTTCAGATGAGATCGACGATTGCGACTACTGTAGGTATTCTAGTTGTATTATTGTTTGGTGTTTATCTTCAGGAAATCACCGAAGGCAATGAAATTATCATAAAAATTATCTAATGTGGCAATAAGATCGTAACTGCACTGTGCATTTACAAAGTGGCCATATTCATCTAAACAAATGAAAAGATTTAACAGACACTATAAAAAAATTATTCCCAGCCACTAGACTTTTCTGACAGGGGAGTCTATTGTCATCAGTGTCAGATGTCAAAGTATATTGTGGGACTAGTATAGAGGAGTTATTATTAGGCATTATAGATCACTAAATTTAGCATCTTTATTATTCTTTTTTTTTTAAAGCATGACTGTAAAACATGAACGGTGTTGGGAATATATTAAAACATGTGCTTGTTTGTTGTAAAAATTCATAATAATGAGAAAAATACTAATTAGTGCATTTCCTGACTTTTATGTGCAGCTATGCTGTTGTTGTAGATGGTGTATTCCATACCTGCAAACATTTGGTTCATAAATTTGATGTGCGTGTGAATTAATTCGGATTATTATTATTATTAATTAGGATTGGGCCAAAATAATAGTTCACCCAAAATCCCTCATCAAGCTATGGGTATTTATTTTGTTTTGCCTGGATATGTTGGATATGTGAATCAACAAGGACCATGGTTTCAGCTTCTACTAAAGAAAAAAAAATACATTTACGGTGGTCTGAGGGCAAGTAAATGAACTGGAAGGTTGTAAAGAGTTCCACAAGCATTTGCACAGACCATTTGGTCATCAATTCCTGCCTTGAACAGACAAATTACAAACAATGGCTGCGTCGGAAACCGCATACTTCCATACTATGGACCTTATTCTAAAATGCGGAAGTGCGCCTGTTTTCGCGATTGTTTTAGAACATCCGATTCAGTCGCCTATGGGAGAAATGAATAGGAATAATAAACGGCAGAAAACGGTCAAACTACTTCCTCTACAAACAAACGTTTGCATGACTATACAGACCAAGTATAATAATATAATAAAAAAATATCAGTTTCAACATCAAACAGCGAAACGAGCAGTTTTTAATGTCTAAAAATGTATGGAAGTAAATGAGACCGGAAGTCTTGAGCCAAAAAGATTCAAATGGCTGCACCCACTCATCGACGAAGAATGAGGTGAATACAGTACGCTAAAATCAGCATGCAAGCTGAGCAGTGTGTCCGAATTTCTAGAATTCAAAAATCAGTATGCGAGAAGTACCCGGATGACTTACTACTTCCGGCGAGATTCTGGAGTGCGCATCCCATGCAAGCTGCGCTATCCCATGATGCCCCATGAGAGAACTCATGAATGGGAGTAAAGCGACACAACTGACGCAGGTAGGTCACGTGAACATGACAAAATGGCGGATGTAGTATGACCAAATTCCATTCATACTTTTCACATTCATACTGTATAGAATGTACTTTTTTAATGGCCGAGTAGTACATTTAAATTCGAATGCAGTACCTACTGAGTAGTAGGCCGTTTCGGACTCAGCCAATGCCTCCACAAGGGTGTAGAGAGTAGTATGTGAAATAGGAAAGTCTCAAACGGTCTTGTCTTGAATGGACATTACTTTGAATCCATGTTTATTTTCAATAAAAATATGTAAAACATTCACAAATTGTAAATGGGTATTTAAAAAGTGTTACACTCTCAGAAATAAAGGTACAAGAGTATTGGTTCTTTAAAAGCATATATTTGTACTTAAGAATTTTAGGAGGTACACTTTTGTAATTTTTAGGAACTAATATTTACCTTTAAGGTATTAATATGAACCCTTTAGGTACAAACGTGTACCATTTAGGGTGCTTTAACACCTGTGAATCGATTCAGTTGTTCCAAAACAGGGATTAAAATTGTTACATTGTTCCTCTTTGTTCTTGGTACGGTTTGCTTTTACACAGCAAAGTTTCTAAACAAACCAAAAGAGCCCAAACAAGTCACATGTGAGTAAACTCTCCTCACTTTGGTCAGAGTTTCACGGATTATTTCATGGGGGGGTAGTGTTTGACAAGGTGCGCGCAACGTGTCTGAAGAGCGAGGAGGGATGCAGTGGGGAGGTGTGAGAAAGGTGCGCAATGTATTTGAGGACCGGGAGGGAGAGGCGCGACTCCCAAAACTTCCAGGAGACTTGGGATGTCTGTTGAATGAACTCCTGGCTCCCGCCCTACTCATAATTTTCTCTTCATATACCCATAAGCCTATTACATATCCATAAAACACTGTGATATAACCGGGCTAAGATCGTATCGCTTTCTCACTACAATCGATTCGCTCCAGTGTTCGCTTCAATCGAGCCGAGACCACCTCATTCAAGTGATCTCGGAGCGATTGTTTTGGCGCGGACCCGAGCGCGATTGGTGGTTTTACATATGCCAAACGAATCGCGCTAACTGGGCAAACGAGACAGGTTCCGAAACAAAAGTCTAGGTGTGAAAGCACCCTGAAAAAGGGATCACCCCAGTGACAGATCTCTTACCTTTATTTCTGAGAGTGTATGGTTTGGGTTAGGGCTAAATGTAGCTATACTTGAAATAGACTTATTACCAATAAAATACTATTTTTACAAATATTGCATCTACAGTCGCTGTCATTTGTTTTTTCTTTTTTGGGTGAACTATCCTAAACAGCATGCTTTGTAGTAATCAACTTATTTATTTTCATATCATAAGAAATAAGAATGCAGTGTCACATACAGTGGCATGGAAGCTTCCAGATCTGAGGCTACTTCGTATGGTTGTGTGGCGTCTCATCAGGATCTCTTTGGCGATGTTCTCATTGGGTAGCGAATGCCTATTAGTGTATGACACAGTCTGTGAAGAATGAGAGATTAGAACAGATCGCAGCTTGTGAAATATTACAGTGGAAACAGCTTCTTAATATTTTTGATAACTCACTTAATACTGCAAATCACGAATTTCGAGAAAACATTTTATAAACTTTTTCATAAAACATACAGTAAAGTCATACAGTATAAATGTGACATGTTAGTTAAACCTTACATTAGGGGTCACCAAACTTGTTCCTGGAGGGCCGGTGTCCTGCAGATTTTAGCTCCAACCCTAATCAAACACACCTGAACAAGCTAATCAAGGTCTTAAGCTGCGGTCACACTACAGTTTGTGAGCGAAAATCTGGAGTACGGCGCTGCGAAAAGGGGCGGGATTAAACAAGCTTATTAGACATTTAATAAAGCGAGCGATTGCTCCATGTTTTTAATTTCTGTCCAGAGAGGTCATGTTTTGATCCTCGACTGGTCTCATGCAGTCAAGTGATGCGATTTCGCAGGTCAAAGTTCATCAAGCTTAAACCTGCGAAACTTGATGCATGACCCTGCGTTTCTGGTCTGACGCATTCTCGTGAGTATGAATGGAAGTCTATGGGAGGAAAAACCCAGTGTGACCACAGCTTTACAAGGAATACTTGAAACACCCAGGCAGGTGCGTTGAGGCAAGTTGGAGCTAAATCCTGCAGGGACACCGGCCCTCCAGGACCGAGATTGGTGACTTATATAATCGCTATATATAGACCTTTTTCATGGCTGCTGCATGGAGGGCGCCATAGCAACCAGCGTCTTCCGGTAGAATGCTAAAAACTTCCGTTTACAGCGTGTACAACTGGTAATTTGCGCTCCGAAAATGGGTTTCAATGACGTTTTTAATAGATAAAAGAGTGTTTCTGTGACACACAACTTAGAAATGTGTCTGTTAAAGCCGTTTTAATCTGTCACATGTGGTTCAAGCGCGTCAGAAATACGAGAAAAACGTTCTCCTAGTTCACGTGTCTGCCGTCAGAAATACAGTGGGTGTGTGCATTCCCGGCCTGTCAGCTGTTAGCTCAGTGGCTCTTTAACACACACACACACACACACACACACACAGAGAGAGAGAAAAAGAGAGAGAGAGAGAGAGAGAGAGAGAGAGAGCAAACCAGCATGAAACTTAACAGGTATGAAAGTTGTGCAATTTACAAAAATTACCAATAAAAGTCCATTATTGATACTCTGCTGGCTGATTTGCTGTTAATTCTAATCGCGAGCCATTTGTGTTTTATTTTGGGTGTTGTTTTTACCACGGTTTGTGTTTTTCTGTCCTTTCGAAATGACACTAGCCTATATTTTCACTTTGTCACAGTTATTAAATCAGTTTGTCAGTAACACAGTACAGGCTGTGTGTTTTAAACATTTTGGTGAATTACATTTGTTTGGGCTGGTTATATATTTGAAATAAAGAGAAAATGTTGACTTTAGCGATGACAAGGCTTCATTTAAACTGCAGAAGATGCCGTCTGACAACAAGGGGAAAATGCCTCACAGCAGCGGTTTTCCATCCTATTAGATCGCATTTCTTTAAATGATCAGTCCAGGAGATGCTGCTGATAGACAACAGTATTAGATCAAAGAGGATAAAAGCAGGTAAAATAGAGTAAAACTATCGTTTAAAAGCTGTCCAAATGTGACTGTTTACACGCATCAGCTGCTGACCGGAAGTTCTTCGCATTCTCCTTGCGCATACACGCAAAGCATAATGGGTAATTTTGCGTTCCAAGAAAAAGGTCTATATATAATTGCTTTTAAAAACAATGAATCTCTTTAATTCTGTTGTCAGATGTATTATACTGGAATGGTTTAATATTTTTAATTGCGTTTTTGTTATCATCTAACATAAGAATATTGGATAATTTAATTTAAGAATTCACATACAGTACAGTAGTTGGTGTCACACATAACAAAAGCACTGAATGTTTAAGCACTTTTTATAATTCTGTTTAGTTTCTTTCAGCAATTGATACAAGTTCAGTACATTATTAGACTTCAGTATGTTATTTCTTTCACAACTCACCCTCTGTCTGATCTTGTACATGTTCTTCGATAAGAGTTCATGCATATTTTCAACATCGGATGGTAGGAACTTCTTATGCTTCGAGGCGTTCTTTCTCTCTTCACTATAATAAAAGACAATAACAGAAATCAACAAGGAAACAATTCCGCAGCGATGATAGACCTTTACTGGAATTACAGCTGTATTAAAGTGCCTCTTTTAACGTTCATAAATTGTATTTAAACAATATATTCATACACTGCCCGTCCAAAAAACTAAATAATTCACCACCTGGATTTAACTAAGCAAATAGTCAAGAGCCCCCAAATGGATAATTACTGCATAGATGATGTTAAAGCTAGTGACAAGTTATAGAATAGCTTCTAATTTCTTTAGCAACACTATCAAAAGAGGCATTGTGTGGTTGTGGAAAGGTTGATCTGTTTCAAAAGGGTCAGGGGCCTCATGTATCAACGCTGTGTACGCACCAAAAACTTTGCGTATGCCAGGTTTCAAGCTCACATTTGGATTTACTAACGGTAAAATGAACGTGAGAATGTACGTTGGTCCATGCCAACTTAATGTCTGGGGTACGTGTATTTCTTGTGTGTGTTTGTTTTATTTCCATTGGCGACTCCTAGAGGCAATTATTTAAACTTCACACTACAAAGTATCTTTGAGCCATGCCATGGCAGCTGTATGGGACGGGATTATCCGCATGTCTAGCAGGTATATAAGGTCTCCATACCATTCAGTTTACCAGACAAACATTAAAGCGCAATTGGCAGCGATCACCGTTTTTTTCCAAAGTAATCGGAGCGATCGACTGCTCGCAAAGGCGAATTTGAAATCAGAAACATTTCCATTCATTAAATGTGCAAATAATATGTGATGCTCAAATGCGCTTAACATATTACACACACTTACTAATGATTCCTACTTGTCTTCCTCGTGATGAAGAGTAGGCAAAATCTGATATGTAGTGGGGGAAAGAAGAATGAGTTCATCAGATGCTGGATTCGAACCGAGTTCATGATCGAACGTATCCAAACATGTTCCATGTGCTTTACGAGCTACGCCACTCACGCTGCTATAGACACTACAAAACTGTACACCTTTACATCAGACCATTTCTTTTTTAATTCACTCACAGTGCAATGTTCAGACCCAACTGTGTTGACCACGTCAGCTAAACTATCCCACTCTATTTTTTTCTTTTGTTGTTAATTCCGGAGAACAAACTTGCAAATAACACCGTTTTTCTCAGGTTTACCTCTGATAGGAGTACCTCAAATTCACATTCTGTTCAAAGTTTCTCTTCTTGCTTGTTTTGCCATTGCTTTTTCATTTGGTTTTGCCAAAGTAGAGTCATTAGCATATTCATATAGGGGAGGAGGCAGGGAGGGGTTTGGGTTTTGCACTCGTGCATGTGCGCTCAGTTTCACGTTAATTCGGATGTACAAAGAGAATATGCGTGGGATTCTGCGTGCGCAGTGTTTCATACATCTGATTTTTTTTGTGCGTACGCAATGTGTTAGCATGATTTCAACTCGAGTTTTTGTACATGCGGCCTAGGTTATTAGTATCAGAGAATACTTAAGATTGCTGAAACTACTAAAAGAACTGTCCAACACACTATTAAAGACCTAGAATTATAATGGGGAACCATCATCTTTGAGGAAGAAATGCCAAAATTAAGAGTTCAGAGTCTAAAATAAGCCTTTTAATCAGGCTCCTGTGTGTAGGTTCAGTAATTTCACTTATGCCAAAAAATAAGTTCTATTCATGTTATTTAAAGTGAATAAATCAACATAAACAAAGGGGGTTGAGAATAATGATCACCTTCGACTGAAATTTCACACAGCACTTGTAGCATCTGAACTCTTCGAATCTTGAATGATCAAAAATAGCAATCACTATAAAGTCTGGTGAAATTGAATAGTAAAAAAAAAACAACAGTAGAACTACCGGCTATGTTTAATAGTGAAAGTAAGAGCTTTATACACAATAAGAAAACCACTTATCAGTCAAGCTAATTTTAAAAAGACTTTCAAGAGTTAACACTTAGCTGATGATTAATAATAAAGCTAGTTTGGCGTGCTGTCCCAGGAGAGAGCCCTGAGCTTATAAGATCCTCGAGCCCTGGGCTCCCTCCCGTTGCAAGGCGAGAGGGGAGTTATTCTCAGGTAGATCTTGATGACTCCCCCTCTTGCTTATTGTAGCTAAGTATCAGATATGGATGCTGAAGGTGTACTCAGAGTTTAGCCAAAATATTTTGGATTAATTGTTAGAGTGCTTGTTTTTGAACAGTGGGAGGAAACCGGAGGACCCGGGAAAAATCCACGCAATCACAGGGAGAACGAGCAAAACTCCACACAGAAATGTCACCTGGTTTGGAAAGGAAGTAAACCAGGGACATTCTTGCTGTGAGGCAACATCGCTAATCACTGGCCACCGTGTCAACCGTTTGAAAGGAGGGAAAGCAGGGTTGGGTGGGGAGGTTTCTTCAAGACGAAGCTATTGAGATGAGAAAAGTCTGGTTATTTATCGTGAGTTAAGGATCTTCTGATAGAATAATTAGTCATTAGCTAAAGTTGAAACAGCTGTGAACAATCATAAGCAAATGATCCTCTCGAAATTTGTTTATAAATAAACTTCACTTAATTTGCCAGCGAGCATAAAGATTGAACTGGAGTAATGAAAGAATTTAGTCACATGGAATGGCCACCACAGGGTCCAGAACTTAATCATATTGAGTCCAACTCATCCATCATCAATACAAGATCTTAATAATAAAAAATAATGCAACTCTAGATGAGAATGAATGTTGTGACACTACTGAAATGATGCCATGGTTAAAGGCAGTTCATCTAATATATAGACGTCAGGCAGTGTATCTATCTAAAAATGTATTTAATTAAATAGTAAAAAAATCCACTGCAACATTCCTGGATCCAGCATCTCTGAATCAGTCCTTTCTGAAATCAACTCTGCTCTGATTGGTCAGATATTGCCTAGTCTGCTGTTATCGACCGCATACAGTGTGTGTCAGAAACCAAATGTTCATGCCTCAGATACAACTATAGTGTTTGAGAATAATTATGTGGTAACACTTTACAATAAGGTTTATTTGTTAATGCGTTTACTAACATGAACTAATCATGAACAACACATGACAGCATTTATTAATCATAATTAAACATTTACTAATGCATTATTAACATCCAAGTCCATGCTTGTTAACATTAGTTAATGCACCATGAGTTAACGAACTAATAATGAACTACTGTATTTTCATTAACTAACGTTAACTAACATGAACAAATACAGTAGTAAATGTATTGTTCATTGTTTGTTCATGTTAGTAAATGCATTAATTGACATTAACTAATGAACCTTATTGTAAAGTGTGACCAATTATGTTAATTATATCAGTAATTACCATGTGTGGTTATATATTAAAGCACACATTTAAATATTATTTTAAAGTATTAAAAAATGTCAAAGTCAATTTGTTCAACTTTTTAACAAGTGCTGTTGGTTAATGGCTAACTGTTAATTAATGGACATTTCTACAAAGCAGACCTTTACAAACAGTTACCTTACAAACTACATAATAGGTAATATCCCAAAAAAAAAAAAAAAAAAAGACAATAGGGGCACTTTAACAAGCTACTCATTAGGCAAAAATAGCTAAACCAGTTTTTGAGTTTACTGAGAAGCAGAGTCCTGGAATAGAGCTGACAGTGCATGAATGCAGACTTACTATAATGACATTAAGGAGGGAGCTGCGCTGATGTCACCAGACATCGTGTCCAGAATCTCCAAGGCGTTTCGAAGCTCCAGTTTCTTATACAGAGACACAATACTTGATTCGGGACGATTATCGCGGATTAAAATCTTGCGAATGAACCGGTTATTGAACTTCATGAACCTGACAACCAGAGAGAAGATCAAGATGAGTAAATTATGTATGTTATGAACATACCACTAAACGTACTTAACCTATTTTAAACTGTACAGAAAATGAAACAAATGCAATTAACGGTGAATGCCTGTTGAGGTGACAACAAGAAATTGTTATGTATTTCAATAAGCCCAAAGCAGGTTAGGAAATGCATGTGAGAAACCACAGAGATAAGATACCGGAAGAACCAGTCTAACTGGTGACACACTTGTTGTGTTGAACTTGTGCCACAGTATAAGGTGTGATTAGTCACAAAGTAGCTAGTTACTGTAATTAAATCATGTATCCACAGAAAGAAATGGATTAGTGTCCATTTTAAGATAATGACAGTTACTTAAATACTATAAATAAATTCAGCAGATTAGTATAAATCAGTTCAAAGAAGCTAAAAGCACATGGGGGTGGAAAACATAGAGGGGAAAGACTTTTTTTTTTCAAATGCTTAATCTCTCTCTAAGTTTCAGTGTTCCCTCAAGAAACTTTGAGTTTTCTTGTGAAAAACATAGAAAAAACAACTGTTCACTTTATTTCTTGCAGCAGTTGAGACTTTAAGCTCTATATGTCTGCTATGGAGCTTTTCATAAACTTTTCTGTTGCCTTAAAAAATTAAAAAAGTGATAGTGTTGCATTAAAAAGTGATGGTCTATTTAAAAAAAAGACAAAATTCAGAGAATATTGTATTTAAAAATGTTGGTCTATTCCAGGGGGCCCAAACCTGATCCTGGAGGGCCGGTGTCCTGCAGATTTAAGCTCCAACTTGCCTCAACACACCCAGGGGCTTTTTCATAAAAGCAGGTATTAAAGTCAAAAAACATTTATTATATACATTTGATAAATGTGTATATATATATATATATATATATATATATATATATATATATATATATATATATATATGATATTTTGCCAGTAACATCAAACAAAGGCCTCTTCACCTCTGTGTATTACTCCGCCCACATACAGCAAGCAACAAGCAGGCTACAGTTTGACAAATATTACTGTTGTAAGGCAGCAAAATGTACTTTTGGGGCTTTTTAGTCGAGAATTTAATTGCTCAGATTGCAACTATTTAGTTTATTTGTAAGAATAGTGCCTATTTTAAAAATGTACAATTTCTGAGAGCTCGTCGGCGGCAGTTGACGTTGTCTATCCACAAGATGGCGCCAAAACCGCATAATAAGCCCTTGCTCAGCATGTTCTCTTGAGCGTGAATTTAAAAGTTGGAAAACAGAAGCCTCATGGTATTAAGGTGGACCGGATAGATTCAATAAGAAGCTGCGAATAAGAAGCTGGATTCAGCCTTGTCTCTTCTTATCGCAAACACAACAGCAGTCTGCTCTGTAGACGGATGGCATTTCATGTCACGTTCAGCCTTATAATCTTAAAATGTGAGCAAAATTTGGGATCACACACCAGAATTGCCACTTCACATTATGCTATAGAGAATCATTCAAATACTAGCTCTAAAGTGACGTTGGTGAATTAGTAACGGCTTCTGCTGTTCTGACATCAGCTGCAGATGTGTATGAATTGTGGAAGAAAGTAGTTCCTAAAACAAAAAGGTTTTAGACTCTCTGTGTTTGATTTTCTTTTTTATGTACAAGACTGTGCTGTCGAACTGTTGTATAAACGCAATAGCACACTGCTACTCGTGTGATATAGGTCATATACAGTATATAAACAGTCGAAGTCAGAATTATTAGCCCCCCTGTATATTTTTTCCCCAATTTCTGTTTTCTATGAAAACGAATCCGCCATTATTAAACCTGACTTACCAAAATAAGCCTGGCTTTTTCTGTAAGCTTGGTTTATGGAACAGGCCCCTGCACAGATGTTTCTAGAAAGCCTAATAAGAGTTTGATTAGCCATCTCAGGTGTGTCTGATTGGAGTTGGAACTAAACTTTGCATGACACCTGCCCTCCAGGACCCAGTTTGGGGACCCCTGGTCTATTCTTTGTAAGCATAAACCCAGAGTTATAAAAATTCCTAAGTATTGACATTTTAAAATCACACTAAAAGGCAATGTTAAAGATTTAAAAGAGTTTAGTTTGTCTATATTCTCTATGCATTAGGATTCATACAGATTTTACATGGTAAAATTCAATGCCTTAAACTGATTAATTCGATTACTTGTCTGATATAGTAATTGGGAATGTAACTTCAATACAATTTTAATGATGTGATTAAATGACTAATGATTTCAGAGTTAAAAAAAGTAAGTAATCACGTAATTACATCATTAAAATTGTATCGAAGTTAGTAAAGCCTAATGGTTAGTTTACACAGTAACTCGTACATGTCTTTCCAGCGGTAGTGACTCCATTGTCCACATAGATCTTCTATGCCGGCGACTGTGTGCTCCATTAACTGTAGAGTAGAGAACCGGCATCAGGACACATTAAACTGATCTTTATTATTCAGAAATTATGTTTAAATAAAAAAAATTTAAATAAAAAGACTTGGAACATACCCGTTTGTGAATCTCATCATTGATTGTCTCCAAGTTCCGATTCGTCTTACGGATATTCATTAACTTTAGAAGGGGTCTAATAGTTATTCCCTGCCAATAGAAAGAGCTTTTGTATAATAGCATTAAAAAATGTTGCAGGTGCAGATTTTTCTGTAAAATTTATAATAAAAAGTGATGTTTTTATGCACCAAATAAGCATAATACAACTGTTTCTAAATTATATATTGGTTTGATGCTGGAAATTCTATTATAAAATACAGTGGAGATCAAAATCATCTTGCTAAATCAGCATGTCAATAAAACGAAAATTCTCCCAATATTTATTCATCCTCCACTTGTTGTTTGAGTTTCTTTCTTTAGTTGAACATAAAGGGCTCTATTTTGATTATCCATACGCAAAAGTGCAAAGTGCAGAGCGCAAACGCATTAAGGGCATGTCAGAATCCACTTTTGCTACTTTAAGGACGTAAAAATCCGCTTTTTGCGCCATGGCCCATGGTCTAAAAGGGTTGAGCTTATTCTCTTAATGAGTTATAGGTGTGTTTTGAGAATAAACCAATCAGAGTCTCATCTCCCATTCCCTTTAGGAGCAAGTTGCATCGCGCCATGGTGCATTTGCTATTTACATAGGCGACTTTGTAAGTGGAAAAACTGAACACTTCACTAGCAAGAAAACAGTTAAACAGAGCATCTGCAGCGTGAGAATGAGAGATGAACCTCCCCATTATTTACTTTCGCTTTCACTCTCGTGGATAAGAAAACGTGTTGTACGCACAGACATCAATTAGTCTATAAATAATTCATTTCTTTTGTTAAGTGCAAAGATTTGTGTCAAAACTATTTCTAAATTCAGTTCTGATTTCCAGCAAACTAATAAATGAACAATAATAACCAAGTGTGTTCAATAAACTGAGTTATATCCAAATACATATCCAAAGCCCCTTATGGTCTAAAACCTGACAGGTGGACAAATCTAAGCTTGTTTTTATTAAAACAAATATAAATATGCATGTAATAAAATACACTACTAATAATAATAACATTATACAAAAGCAAATTGTTATGAATAAACTGAAAAAGCCCCCCGAGATGAAGAAGGCATGAAAGTATACTTTTTATATTTATGTAGGCTAGAAAATAATATGTTTTGTAATATTTTTAAATCTTTAATTCTTCTTCATATGTAAAGATATTTGCATATTGCTGTACATCCTGTGTGTATTATGCAATGTTTAAGCGAGGCGCACAAATAATGTGCTCTGCGCTGGACTTTAGACCAGCTTTGATCTGGTCCATTGAACAGTCTATTATGGTTTCTCAAAATTGCAACATGCCAGCAATGCGCCTCAACACGCCTCCCTTTTTAGACCAGATCGCCTATGGGTGCACATATTTAAACAGCGTGCTGCAAAATATCAAAACAACTCTTGCACCAAGCTGAAACTAGCAAACAACAATTGCGTCGCGCCTTGCGCCGGGTGTTTGTTTGGGCCCATTGACACCAGATATTTTGAAGATAAACTTCCACTGTATTTTTGTTCCTACTATGAATGTCAATGATTGTTTTCCCCCCTGAACATTCTTTAAAATATCTTGTTTTGTGTTCATCAGAAAACAGAACACTCATAGAAGTTTAAATCCACTTAAAAATGTTCACATTGGAGTAAACTCGAATCTGTTTTAATAGGTTTGTCAGGTAATTAATGAAAATTATTATCGAAAGGTTAATATTTTGATGAGACTCCAATTGTCCCATTTGTTTGACAAATATATATATTAGGGATGTAATGGTATCAGAATTTCACGGTACGGTAATACCTCGGTATGAATGTCACGGTACGGTATTTATTGAATCATTTACAGGAAAAAACAAAACTTATGAAAATACTCCAAAAAAGTGCCAAAAGTGTCAATGACATACAAATTAGCCATCTATCTGTAAGCTTAGAAACAGGAATTTTAATTTTAATAACAAAAAAATATTAAACCATGTAAAAAAAATAAAGTTTCAATTTAGTATTGTTGAAAACTCATCACATTCAACATTTAATCACTCACTCACTTAGATAGAGATGGGTTTAAAGGAAAATTATCATATAAATATAATCTGGTAAAAGCTGGTATCTCTGGGTATTTACATTGTCCCCTGCAACAGAAAAAAACCCTCTCATTTGGGACTGAGGTTTCTGGGACAAGAGAGATATGACTTGGCCCAGGTTGACAGCAGTGGGTAACGTTGTGCATTGTCTTTCCCCCACTTGAGAGGACAAACCATGAGTGAGATAGAGATCTCATGTCTGCATCAATCTGAACAGTGTGCTGAGTTTCTGCAGTCCCCATGACTGATTATTAGTCGTATTCCCCAACTTGCAGGCACGTGCACACACAGTGCTCAACCTGTGCAGTGCACATGCCCTTTTTAGTCTTGGATAGAAAGTTCCCTTCCAAAATGATCAAAAGTGCCCCCGCGACTCGACATACCCTCTGTCCCCGCTTTACAGTACGACACACAACAACAACAACACAGCTGATAAGAACTCGCGCGACAACACCACTATTCAGTACGCGCGCGGCGACAACACCCGCTTTAGGGTTTTCCAGCTCTTTTTGATCCCCGCTTCTAGCAGCACACTCCATTTCCGCATTACTGGATCTGTAGCGACAACAGACCGCAAGGGATTATGGCCAAGCCTGGGCTGATGGGAATTGTAGTTTCCGGTACCTCCCGTTCGCTTCATTCGCCTGAGCAAATTTTCTCAGAAGACCTATAGTTTTACCGAGTCATGCGACTACGGTAATATCTAAAAAAATACTGTTACATCCCTAATATATATATATATATATATATATATTTTTTTTTTTTTTTCTTTTTTTTTTTTTCTTTTTTTTCTTGTTAGGATAACTTTAGATAGGAGGTTGTTTTGTAATTGTGATCTCCAGTATATTTACATATTGAAAACAGTTGTTTGACTTTCTTTACTCATATAGAGGACTTGTACTTGAATGAAAACTGTGAAGATGATGACGGCAATCGTGTCTGTGATGAACAGCTTTCTGTGAGGAATGCTGTTTGGTAGGGTAAAGGCCAAGGCAAAGGACAGAGCTCCTCTCAGCCCACCGTAGGCTAAACCAAACTGATCTTGGAAGTTGAAAGGAATCTTGCGGAAAGGGTTAATGATCTGTGTTAAGACCAGGATTCCTAAAACACAAACAACATATGATGTATGGTTATATATGATGGGAAATACTCAGTACAATGTGCATTCACAAAACCTTTAAAGTTGACATCCGAATTAAATTTACACTTACAGTTGAAGTCAGAATTATTGGCCCCCCCTTTGAATTTCTTTTTTAAATATTTCCCAAATGATGTTTAACAGAGCACAGAAATTTTCACAGTATGTCTGATAATATTTTTTCTTCTGGAGAAAGTCTTATTTGTTTTATTTGAGCTAAAATAAAAGCAGTTTAAAAAAAATAAAAAAAAATTTTAGTGACAAAATTATTAGCTATGTTTTTTTCGATAGTCTACAAAACAAACCATCGTTATACAATAACTTGCCTAATTACCCTAACCTGCCTAGTTAACCTAATTAGCCTAGTTACGCCTTTAAATGTAACCTTAAGCTGTATAGAAGTGTCTTGAAAATATCTAGTCAAATATTATTCACTGTCATCATGGCAAAGATAAAATAAATCAGTTATTAGAAATGAGTTGTTAAAACTATTATGATTAGAAATAAAAATAAATAGAAAAAATAGAAAAAAAAATAAATAGGGGGGCTAATAATTCGGACTTCAACTGTATGCTTTTTCTTTATGTTTGTGTTGTGTATTCCATATGTCCTATATGCTTGTTATGCCTAGTTCAGACTGCGTGATTTTAGCCCCGACAGGTTTTGAGAAATCGCAGATAAATGCCTGAAATCACAGGCAAATCGGTGCTTGTGCACGTGAGTGACAATCACACAGTATGAACTATCAAAGACGCGATCTGAGAGAATCGTCGATGAGTCGCTGATGCCTGTGAGATATTTGGCGTGCTGAATATCTGGAGGTGCCAGCGATTCAAATCATGCCGTGTGAAATGAGTTTTAACTGAAAATAACATCAGCGATCGCCTACAGCCAATGAGAGAGCAGCATTCACTTGTGTGTGCGTGTGTGTATACCTGCTGCAGGCCGGCGGGAGGCTGGGGGAGAAGTTAAAAGCGCTCTTTTTCGATTTATTTGGACCCACGAAATGGAGGAAAAACTAGTGGAGGTTTGACTCAGGAGCAACTGTGTCTGTTTGACATTTCATACAGAAAGAAATTAGTTTATTATCAACGTTGAGGAGAAATGGCTAATTCCCTTTAAACCGTGAGCAAACATGTACATGTTCTACCCCATTAAAGGCTTCTTTCTCATTATGTAGTTAATAACAAAAGATATACTACGTGTTTTTGGCTATAAGACGTAGTTTGGACGAAGTTGTCGGCGATTCTTCCTATTGTAAAGTCATGCAATGTGAAAGTCCATGTCGCCGATCCATCTTGCAGTGTAAACAAAGCAGCGACGAAATGCTAGCCCAGATAGTCAAGCAGTGTGAAAACATCTGTGACACGACTACTTTGTAAATCATGCAGTCTGAACTCGACATTTTGGAGACGATTTTCTTTCAGGTCCCAAACCTTTCAAATCTTCCAAAAATGGCAAAATCGAAATAGCACTATGGTGCAAAGTGTTTTTATTTACAGTGCTCAGTGGAAACAATCCTCCAAAAATAATAAACAGCAAACCAAAACAGTAGTTTAATGGCCCATTTCCACTGAGCGGTACGATTCGGTACAGTATCCTAGCAGGCACACAACATCATAAGACGTTGATATTAGGTTTGCTTTATGATGTCAGGTGACCCAAATTCAATGTCTAGCCTGTGTCGAAGGACAACGTTATTTTATAATTTATTTTACAACATACAATTTATTATTTTGATGTCCAATAATGACGTCAAATTACGTTGATTTTAGGTTGTGTTGGAAAGTGACCAAAATCCATATGGTATGGATATTTGGTTGCTTTTAGGGTGGACATTAGACATTGACGTCGGCCTGACGTTGGGTTCTGACATCAAACCAATTTCCATTTGCAAACAAAATCCAATGTCCCCATGACGTTGGGGTATGTTAGGGTACAACATCAATATCACGTCACGTTGACGTCCTGTGCCTGCAGGGATGGTACCTAAAAGCTTTTTGTTAATGATTTGCATAAGTGACCATTAGCAACAAAATGTGCATATTGTGCCGTCAATATTCAATTTAAGTTGGTTGATCATCCTTACCCAGGAACCTCCAAAACAGAGTAAAGAACAAAGTAAAGAGGATGTAGCCCCAGTTCCACTCGTGCTCCGTTGTGATTGAAACAACACCCAGAAAAAAGAAGATCAGTGTTTCCGACACACTTCCAACCATCTTAATGACATGGCGAATAGTGGTGCAGGAGCGCTGGGACACATTCTCCTCAACGTAGTACTTCATACTCAAGGTGCAGATTAAGATACTGTAAAATATGAATAGCACAACTTTCAGGAAAATCTATCATTTCTTCAGACGATCAGAAGCAAATTTACTAAGAGGGCTTTACTTACGCCATGATGCTGGAGAGTGCAAATAGCTCAGCGATGAGGTAGGACATGTAACTGAACATGAAGATGACCAGGGGCTCGATCTCTCTCACTTTTCCAGTAAAACGTGTGGTGAAGGCTGTCAAAAACCCAAACAGCAAGCCGAAGAATATCCCACCCAAACCCACCACAAAAAATCCGCCAATGTCCATGAAAATGACTGCAGGTTCATCCACTTCCATCGCTGCTACATGATTGAAGAGATTATACAGTACCTGAAATGGAGGGTGACATCTATGACATACAAAAACTGATGCACAAAAAAATGACTAATACAATTAGAGTACAGATACGATGAATTTTAAAGCCTCCTTTCAACTGTACATGACAAGCGACAGACCGGAAGTCATTCATTTCCAATGGAGAGTAGTCCAGGAGCTGTGTGGAGTTCCGATCATCTCTATATGCGGTAAAATCGGATCTGAGTTGAACTCCTGCGACTAGACCGTATGCGACCGGCCGACCGGATGTGATGTATTTAAGTGTTGTCCAAGCAGGTCCGTGCCACTCGAGATTAAAAATTTGAGTTTTTCCGTTATTTTTTGAGTCAGAAAAAGTCTCAATAAAAATAAATTTCTATTCGTAAATGAGTAGCAAAACATATTATTTTATATGTTGTCTCCACATTCCCTCCAATATTTTTTAGCCTTTCAGGGTGCAGTAGGTGATTGTTTTCAGAAACATTTGTTGTTGTGCTGGTGAAAAGTCTCTTCACATTCCAATCGTACTGATTAAAGTAAACGATCTAATTGTATTTAAGACTAAAATATGTTCATCTACTTAAAAGTTGTCAGGCCGACAATTCCTATAATTCTGAGAAGTAGCCAAACTGTCTGTCAACAAGTAGAGATTTGTACAGCCCTGCTGAAAAAAAATGGTTGGCTGGTTTTAGAGGGGTTTTGGCCATTTACAGGCTGGTTTTGTCAGGGTTCTGCCACTCTGGTCTTGTAAATTCTTGTTTTGGTGTCCGTACACTAGCTCTGTCATGTCCTGTTTCTGTCATAGTTGCTGCGTCCGAAACCGCAACTTCCATACAATACAGTACGCTAAAATCAGTATGCGAGCCAAGTAGTATGTCCGAATATAGACATAGAATTCGAAAATCAGTATGCGAGAAGTACCAGGATGACTTACTACTTCCGGCGAGATTCTGGAGTGCGCATCCCATGCACGCTGTGCTATCCCATGATGCCCCGTGAGAAAATTCATGAATGGAAATGAAGCGACGCAACTGACGTAGGTAGGTCACGTGACCATGACAAAATGGCGGATGAAGTATGTCTGAATTCTATTCATACTTTTCACATTCATACTGTATAGAACGTACTTTTCTAACGGCCGAGTAGTACATTTAAATTCAAATGCAGCACCTACTGAGTAGTAGGCGGTTTTGGATGCAGCCTGTGTGTCTCTCTGTGTGCATTGTGGGTGTGCGCAGAGCGTGCGCGCTCCCGTTTAATGCGGCCGCTGAGTGCCTTGGACACGCTCTTGTACTCGTGTTTGTGTTTTGTTCTGCCAGCATCGCGCTGTTTCATTCTCAGCATCTCCGTCTAGTTGGTTTCGGTTTTGGTTGACGCTGAGATTAAGCATGCACGTTGCATATGTGTGAGCGCACGGTAAGGTGTTTATCTATCGTGTGCTCGTGTCTTGCGTCTGTTCTCAAAGCACGTGGCTCTGTGTTTACATTGTGGTCACGTGCTTTTGTTGTGTGCTTCAGTGTTGTGTGTGTCTTGTCATACGAACACGCGGTTAATGAGTTCTCTCTTTGGCTGCGTGTTCTAGTATTGTGTTTATGTGAGCACATGACTTGTGTTGTCTCTTTGTGTCATGTGCTCTACCGTCTATTGTCTAGTCCCACCCTCCTTGTTAACCCATTATTCGTTAATTATCTTCATCTGTTTATGTGTGTTAATTTGCTCCTCCTTATATTCTCCTCATGTCTGCTGTCCTGTGCTAGTTCCTCATCATATGTCTTCGTTTCCTGTCCTCCAGCTTGCCAGCCTGCCCAGTCTAGTTTGTTTGTTTGTTCATTTCATAAATTTTTTCCCCCTCTGGGTAGTTTGTTTTGCTGTTTTGCTTTTTTTTTTTTATCAATAACTACCCATTATTTCCTTGCATTTGAGTCCTCGCCCCTTTCTTCTACACAAACGTGACTAGTTTCCAGCCATTTCAAGCCTAGTCAGGCTGGGAGATGAGCAGCTAAAACCAACTTGACCAACCTAGCCAGGCTGGGAGCCCAGCCAAAACCAGCTATAACCAGCTTAAACCAGGCTGGTCAAGTTGGTTTTAGCTGGTCATTTTCCAGCCTGACCAGCTAAAACCAAGCTGGTCGGGCCACCCAAAAATGAAAATGTACTCACTATTTACCCACCCTTTACTTTATGAGTTGCTTTTAATAAAAAGCCTCAGAAAGAAAACAAATGCTATGGAAGTCAGTGTTTAAAGGTTTCCAGCTTTCTTCAAAGTATCTTCTTGTGTGTTCAGCAGAAGAACTAAATTCATGAAGGTATGAAAAAAGCAGCAATTTTCAGATGCCTTTAATCTTAGATTCCTTTCTCTGCATCAGACATCATTTACTTTAATGTGTTTATAATCCACATTACTCACCACAGTGACAGCATCATTGAACAGACACTCTCCGAACATCACAATGTAGAGCTGCTCGTTGATGCTGATGTCCTCAAACACACTGAGCACAGCCACCGGTTCAACAGCTGAGAGGATGGCGGCGAACAGGAGGTTCTCCTGCAGGTTAATGTCCTGCACACCAAACTCCTCTATCTGGCAGATGGCAAATAGGGAGATGCCGATGCCCATGGTATTCCACAAGGTGCCAACTACAGCAAACCACATTACTGTGCCCACGTTTTCAAAGAAGGGTCGAGTGGGCATAAAGTAGCCGGATTCTAGAATAATGGGTGGCAACATGTAGAGGAAAAAGACGTTGGAGGAGATCACCGCCGGCGGCTCCTTGCGCACAGCGTGCATGACGCCTCCCACTACGAAGCCAAGGGAGATCAGCAAACATGACTCAGGCACCCAGACTGTGATCTTATGATAGACGTTGAAACCTGTTTAGAAAGAGTATGTGATAAGCAGTTTTAAAGGTAATTCCACCCCATACACGCATTTAAAAGTCAGGAAAAGGCAGCGATTTAAAAATTATAAACAGTTTTACAAGGTCAAAAAAGGTTGAGAAGGACTATTACACGGGTGGCCAACCCTGTTCCTGGAGAGCCACCTTCCTGTAGATTTGTAACCCATATTAAACACACCTGCATGTAATTATCATGTGATGTTTAGGTCCTAATTAATTAGTTCAGGTGTGTTTTGGGTAGCAACTGAAATCTGCAGGATGGTGGCTCTCCAGGAACAGGGTTGACCACCGCTGGACTATTAGAAGAACAGGTTAAGGCGATTTATTTGTGTTTCAAAAAAGGTTTTCAAGCAGCAAAACAATAAAAGTATAAGCTTTAAAAAAAAAGGAAGAATCGTTTCTGAGCAAAATACCATGACTATCTTTTTTTTTTTTACTATGGTTTACAGAAGGGACCCACTGAAATACAAACAATAGCTATACACTGAAAAATATTGTCAGGCATATTTAGAGCAATGATATTTTGATGGCATATTAACAGACTATATTTAAGGATGACAGTGCAGCCCTAAAATACGAATTAATAATTGTGTAAAGGATCAAAAATCTCACAATTCAGATTATGTTTTTTTAGTCATGGATCGCACCATTTTTCGGATCAGCCAAAAAGAGGAGGAGACTAATGTAATTTGCTTTCCATTTATTACAAAAACAGCACTGCAAGACAAGGTTTTAACAACCAGAACTTAGAAGCTGTAATTTTATTTTAATTAGAAGCTTTTAATTTTTAAATAATCAGCTGAATAAACATAAACAGTAAAATATTCAGTACTGTAAAAATTCACTGTTACTGCTACTGTTGCTGATAACACTAAATGTAGAAATCTAACACTGTAATTTGATCACCCATATTTATTTTTAGTCTCATTTTCAATAAATGATTCAGTTATTCACTCACAAAACTTTTTTGTTTCATTGCTTATTTATCCAATGGCATACTTTGATGGCCACTTATTGGTTAAACGATGTAATTGCTGCCTATAACTTTCATTTTTGAACTAGTTGAGTTAAATTTATACAGTAGGACGCTGATTTTAATCTTTACCATGAACATCAACGGTTTTATCTAAATTATAAGCTGTTATATAGACTAAACACAAAGTTCTAGTGTGTGTGTGTGTGTGTGTGTGTGGGTGGGTGGGGGGATGGGGGAGGGGGGTTGTGGTGGGGGGGCGCGTGACTTGTCTGAAGATCGAAGAGCGATCCAGGGGTGAGAAGGGTGCGCGACTTATTCGAGGACCGGGAAGGAAACGCGATTTCCGGGAGATTATCACTCGTTTTTATGTTTTACGAATTGGGATGTCTGAATTTTACGTTTAACAACTATAGTGAGACGCAATCCAGCGTTCCTCCCACCGTCCAAAAACATATACCATAGACAATTGACAAAACCAATTTATCACCCAATACAACCTTAGTTTACATTTTCTCTCAGCGACAAGCAGAAGAGTTCTCGAGACCTACCTGAGCTTAAACTCACCCTTCTAACGGGAGGGAGCCCTGCGCTCAAGGATATTACGAGCTCAGGGCTCTCTCTACGGGGACAGCATGCCAAATACGCTTTGATTATCAGCTAAGTGTGAACTCTTGAAATACCTATCATTGGTCACAGCTTCTGCTCATAGCAAAGTATGCAACGATTGGCACAACTGGTTGACTGGTTCACAAAGCATCTGCAAAAATCATACCTCATACTATATAGTGCACTCACCTAGTGTTCTTATACACCCACCCAGGACATAGTTTGATAAATGAACCCTCAATAGTTGAGAGTTTTGCTAAGGCCAGACATATACAACATTCTAAAGAGTGTAACTCTTCATAATATGCCAACAATATTTACCTGTATTTATTCTGTCTTTGCTGAAGAACACGTCAGGAACAGCTTGTTTTGGACACTGTATATAATAGCAAAACTAAAAAAAAAAAGATTTAAATGCTTGGGAGCGTGCAAACATTTTCTATAACAATACCTTCTCCACCCTCTTTCTTCTCCTCGATTCCCTAAGATCTTTCTACCTCTCCCTTCCATGGATCATCAGCCTCATATACGCTGAGTAAAGAAGAAAACTAGTTTTACAGGAAACACAAACCTGTCATTTGAATGGCAAATACAGTCCCAATAATTCTCCATGTTCTAGTGTTACAAATAGTCTCCACCTTGGTGCCAAATAACCTATACATGTATTCGTTTAAGCAGGGATGCATGTGGAATACTATATTATGTATTTGAAACACGATGTTGTTGCTATTAGTGAGTGATGCATGTTTAAGCAGCTGTACATACCTCTATCGAAGCACAGTATGAATTTGAACCTGTTACTTCTGTATAAACGTTTTTGCAAAAAAAACGCTGCATTATGTTTATACACAGGGCTTGAATTGTAACTTAATGCTCACTTAAAAACATCAAGTACAGCCATAACACAAGGATAAAAGTAAAAGATTATATTCACTTATCTTTAATGTTGTTTTCTGAAAAAAGGTAATTTATTATAAATGTATATATTACATTAAATTCTAAATTTAACATATTCGCATTCTAACTTTTACTTTTTTAATTTGATATTTTACTTGCATTTAATATGCATTAAATGCATAGAAAATCATATTTGTACTCATTTTGCTATGGTTTTTCCAACAATCCACAGAAATGCAGTATAGGTGAATTGAATAAAAAAATGGCCCTAGTGAAAGAGTGTGTGTGAATGTATGTATGGGTGTGAGGGTGTTTCCCTGTGCTGGGTTGTGGCTAGAAGGCCATCCGCTGCATAACATATGACAGAGTAATTTTGGTGGCTCATTCCACTGTGGTGACCCCTGACAAATCAGAGACCAGGCTGAAGCGTATTGAGTGAGTACATTAATAACAACAAAATAGGCCTATCTGTAAAACTGGAATAGTGATTTCTGGAATATAGAATTATTATTATTATTATTATTATTATTATTATTATTATTATTATTATTATTATTTTAATGTGGAATAGTAGAAAAAAGACAGAAGTTTTAAGTAATTATGTTAAACAGCGTACACTCACTGACTCACTGTTTAAATATACAGTTGAAGTCAGAAGTATTAGTCTCCCTTTGAATTATTTTTTCTTTTTTTAATATTTCCCTACTGATGTTTTAACAGAGCAAGGAAATTTTCACAGCATGTCTGATAATATTTTTTCTTCTAGAAAAAGTCTTATTTGTTTTATTTCGGCTAGAATAAAAGCAGTTTAGGTTTTTTTTTAAACCATTTTAGGGTCAAAATTATTGGTTCCTTTAGGCTATATATTTTTCCGATAGTCTATTGAACAAACCATCGTTATACAATAACTTGCCTAAATAATTACCCTAACCTGCCTAGTTAACCTAATTAACCTAGATAAGCCTTTAAATGTCACTTTAAGTTGTATAGAAGTGTCTTGAAAAATATCTAGTAATATATATATATATATATATATATATATATATATATATATATATATATATATATATATATATATATATATATATATTATGTACTGTCATCATGACGAAGATAAAATAAATCAGTTATTAGAAATAAATTATTAAAACTATTACGCTGAAATGTGCTGAAAAAATCTCTCCTTTAAACAGGAATTGGGGAACAAAATAAACAGGGGGGCTAATAAGGGATGCTAATAATTGTCATTGCAACTATATACTGTGTGTAGCAACATGTCTGACAAGAAAATATTTCAGTATTCAGTAAATTTTTATTTCTTTCTTCTTTTACCTTATTGTAAAAAAAAAAGGTTTTAAATCAGATTCCAGATTTGTTTGACTTTAGAATTAGTATTTGCTCACCTATTTTGGCAAAGGAAGCCAGCAGCACCCATAAAGTGATCTCAAACGGGATCTTAATGCGAGCGTAGTTCAGTGTAAACAACTCCGGATTGGTTTTGTCAGCTTCGGTTCCAGCAGTGTCATCATTTGAGCTCCAAAGAGGAGATTTGGATGGAAAACCAGCAGTCGCTTTAGTAGTAACATCGACGTTTTCTCCATATCCAACAGAAGCAAAACATATGCACAAAAAAACCTGAAAGTTGAATGACGAGCCAACATGAAAATGAAGCACCATTCTCCCTTATACCTTTAGCTGCCGTGTATGTAAAAGATGCAAATATTAAAATAGTTTACATCTTGTTTCATTCATTTCTGAAGTGAAGCAGACGGGCGTGTGATTAGGCTACCTGCGACTCTCGGTCTGCCTCTTTGCTCAGATGCAGAGGCCGGTGTAACTAGATTTTTGGTTTCTGTCAACGTCTGCCACAGGGCGGATCACTACATGAATATTCATGAGATTCACGGACACGATGTTGTAAACTTAGCAATTTTGTTGCTAGATATAGCAAATTTTTATACAACCCTAGCAACTTTTTTTAAAGCACCTAGCAACAAATTTAGCATTTTCTAACATTCATTTGTCTACTTTGAGCTATTTTTAAAAAGAGACTGAAAAGAGCAGTGACTGCAAGCTTCACTCAGTAGAGTAAATTGCTAGCTCAGATTGTTTTTCATAACTGTCAATTTACTGCTGTTTGTTAACAAGTATATGTTGGTAATTTAGTTAGCAATGTATTCCAATAGTGCTATAATTGTTGTCACTTTCACAAATGTGGTAATTTCACAAGTTAAAAAGAGTAAGTACTCAAGCTGTGGTTGTTTAAAAGAATGTAGCTGTTCATTGTCAATGTTATATTTAAAAAAAAAAATTCTTATGTTTGGATTACTATTCCAAATAGTCAATTTTTCACACAAATCTAAATGGACATATTTCAAGTAATGTTTTTGGTGAGATGGCCAATCAATTTCAGAAAACAATAATTATTTTCCATGCTACATAAAGATGTAGTTTTGAGTTACGCAATGACGTAATCACACAAAGTAATATGTTAATAAGAACCTATTTATTGTGCATCTGTATGTAATGTTTTAATATAATTTCATGAGTTCACACTCACAGATATTTGACTGAATAGAATATGAGTATTTGGCGTGCTTTCTAGGGAGAGGGCTCTGAGCTTCCGCTTATCAGGATAGAAAGAGATAGGGTCCAAGCGCAGTGTTTAGCCCGGCTCCAGAACACTCCCCCCGCTCAGATTTAAATAGGTTTCGGGTTTAATAGTGTGGAGTTCGGGTGGTGGAGGGATGCTGAAGTCAAGGAAAAACAAAGCTATGACGTGTTTGACTGTTTATAAGGGTTTGCTCTTGAGCTGATTGGATAATAGAATGATTGTCTGTGACGAGTTAGCTTCGTCCTCCCGAAATTTGTTTAGATAACATCACATAATACACAGCGCCTCAGAGAATAGAGACATGACGGGCGTACGCCTGTCAGATATTACATGATAACGTCACTGATATGCAAATTAGTGTGTGACGTCATCTGGCAACATTTAGCTACTTTTCGGGCAGGCTACTTTTCATTGGAAATAGTTGGCAACACTGCTGGGATATGCGAGTGGAACTGAGAATTTTAGTTCATGCTCTTTGTAAGCTATCTCAACATTTAGATTAATGTATATTTCAAAACGGTAAAAATTGTCACCGTTGCACAAATGAATGCAAATTACAGCCGCTTATCTTTTGTAACAAATTGTAAAGCTTTTTAAATAGTTTTTGTTTTGCACCTTGATTTGTAGTCGTCTCTGACTGAATGACTGCAGGCATGTTCCCACAACCCCATCTCAGACACACACACACACACACACACACACACACACACACCACACACTTTTTTAAAAGTAAATTCATCCGGTTCATTTTAATTGGGCAGATTATGTTTAAGAGTTACTTGAAGCAACGAATATAAGGGTAAATTTGCAACTACGGGCACTTTTAAGTCCATCGATCATATATCTAAAAATATATAATTGTGATCAAATTCCTTTTTCTTTGTCAAACTAACAATAAAACTTACTTTTAAAAAATTACCAGCTTTCTACTATGTTTTTCTTTTCTTTTAGGTGTCAAAATCACTGTTTTCGCCTTGAGTTTTTTTAACTTCAACAATAAAAATAAAATTTCTAAATATTATTTATCTGATGTCTATTCATGTATCTTAATTAAGCACTAGTGAAATAATTTAAATATTTTATAGTTATTCATATTTTATATTTTATTTTATACAAAATATAGCGGTCGCACAGTATCAGAGTCATTTCCACCACAACACTGTTATGTTGCTTTAAAAGGGTTGTGTGAAAGATTATTTGGGTGGTTTCTATGAAAATGAAAAGTGACATCTGAGAACATGTTCAAGATGGAGGGAATTTAAATTTTCATCCACAACACTTCAAGAAAAATCAAGGTAAATATTGCTTGATAAGGAAATACATTTATTCTTCATCATTTCCGAACATGCTGTACCTTCAAAGGTGTTTTTGAAAACTCAGCAAAATGAAGGTAAATAAGTGTATTTTGTAAACAAAGGCAATTCAAAGCTAATCAGTGAAGCTATCTTTAACTTTTCAACAATAAACTGTAAAAATGTCATTTCCACCACTGTCATTTCCACCACGTTACAGTGTAGAGAAGCCCCAAAGAAGCATCCCACCAAGACTATTGATGCCCAGAGTAAAACATGGGGGGAATCAGTGATGGTTTGGGCTGCAATATCATGGCATTCTCTAGGGCCTAATTCTGATGCTAGATGGAGCATCACTGCCAAGGACTACCGACGCATTCTAAAGGACCATGTGGTTCAAACATTGCATCCTGAAGGCGGTGGCGTGTATCAGGATGATTATGCACCAGTACACCAGCAAGACTGGTGACAGAGTGGTTTGATGAACATGAAAGTGAAATTGAACATCTCCCGTGGCCTGCACAGTCACCAGATCTAAATATTATTGAGCACTATAGGGTATTGTGGGGAAATGAGTCAGGAAATGTTTTTCTTCAGCAGCATCACATAGTGACCTGAACACTATTCTGCTAAACAAATGGCTCAAAATTCCTCTGGCCACTGTGCAGGACTTGTATCTGTCATTCCTGAGATGAACTGATGGTATTTTGTCCGCAAAAGGAAGTCCAACACCATACTAATGAATTATTCATTTGTTCATTCTCTTTTCATCTTAGTCTCTTTATTCATCAGGAGTTGCCACAGCGGAATGAACCGCCAACTTATCCAGCTTATGTTTTACACAGCGGATGCCATTTCAGGCACAACCCATCACTGGGGAACACCCATACACTCTCATTCACACACATACTCTACGGACAATTTAGCCTACCCAATTCACCTGTACCGCATGTGTGTGGGGGAAACTGGAGCACCCAAAGGAAACACATGGCAACATGGGGAGAACATGCAAACTCCACACAGAAATGCCAACTGACCCAGCTGGGGTGCAAACCAGCAACCTTCTTGCTGTGAGGCAACAGTGCTACCAACTGCGATGAATTATTGTGCACTAAAACCAGGTCCTTCAGTTTCATTGTATAACCCCTGTAGATGTGTAATTCATTTTATTTTAAAATTAATTTACATAATATTTGAAAAATAATTAGTTATTTACAGTATGCACAGTTACTGTTCATCAAGAAAAATCTTTTTTTTTTTTTAGCTAAATTTCAGCTTTACGCATGCAAAATATGTGTGGTTATGCTTAGTAATTTTGCAGTGGAGTTTAATAAGTGTGAGTTTAATATTTTTTTTATAAATATCTAAAGTTTTTCTACATTAACACTGATTCATTGTCACACCCTGTCATTTCCACCACCGCCCTGTCATTTCCATCACCACACACACATTTTTTTAAATATTTAAAAAGTTCTCATCACACATTAAAAGTGTATTCACATTATATGAGATCATAATAATAATAATAATAATAATAATAATAATACATTTTATTTATGATGCGCTTTTCTCAGTCCCAAAGCGCTAACAGTCATACAAGGCAAACAAAGCAGAACAATAAAAACAGTCAAAAAATAAAATAAAAAGACCGCAATAAAATATGAATGGTTCAATACATTTGGATGATAAAATAACAAAAATAAATTAACAAAAAATGAATAAATAAAAAAAGGTGAGTCTTAAGAAGTTACTCAAAACAATCCAGAGAAACAGCATTCCTGATGCTGGTGGGAAGGCCATTCCATTACTTAGGCGCACTGTACGAAAAAGCACGACCACCCATAGTCTTCAGTTCTGATACAGCAAGATTGCAGATGAGGAACGAAGACTGCAGGGTGGGAGTGGCCAGAGTTACCAGGTCACAAATGTAGTCAGGTGCCAGCCCATGCTCTGCTTTGTATGTTAAAACCAGAGTCTTAAATTCAATACGTGATTTAACAGGAAGCCAGTGAAGTGTACTATTCAGCATTTGGTCCTGGGGGACTAATTTATTTAATTGACAAATGTATAACTATTGTAAATATCGTAGAAAGATTGGTTAAACTGGACATAAATTATCGTAGACAATGTTTGACTGCCATCATTTATTTCATTCATTCATTCATTTTCTTGTTGGTTTAGTCCCTTTATTAATCCGGGGTCATCACAGCGGAATGAACCTCCAACTTATCCACCAAGTTTTTTTTACGCAGCGGATGCCCTTCCAGCCGCAACCCATCTCTGGGAAACATCCACACACACATTCACACACACTACGGACAATTTAGCCTATACCCAATTCACCTGTACCGCATGTCTTTGGACTGTGGGGGAAACCAGAGCACCCGGAGGAAACCCACGCGAAGGCAGGGAGAACATGCAAACTCCACACAAAAACGCCAGCTGAGCGACCCAGCGAGCTTCTTGCTGTGAGGCGACAGCACTACCTACTGCGCCACTGCCTCGCCTCATTTATTTCATTTTCAAAATAAAAGCTGTATATTGAGATGTGGTGGGAATGACATTTGTTCAGTTCACAATGGGAAAAAAATGTTAAATATTAACAATTTCTCTTCTTATCTAAGTTTGTCCTCTTGCAAATCTTAAAACTAGACAAACTGTTTAAACTTATGAGGCTATTTTATGTTCATTTTAAACAAGTTCAAACTTCACAAGGCTAAAAGTGCCGAAGAACTGCCCATAAATGCAGAAGGAGACAGAAAAGAGACATGTTCTTGCTAGCAAGTGTTGATGTTTGAATTGTGTGTGAGAGAGAGATCTAAGATATTTATTTTCTCCAGTAAATGTTCATTCATTCATTTTCCTTCAGCTTAGTCCCTTTATTCATCAGGAGTTGCCACAGCAGAATGAACCACCAACTTATCCAGCATATATTTCACAGATATGTTTACATTTATTTTATACTGTCCAAACCGTATATTATTTTGCTCTCACCCCACCCCACCCCTAAACCCAACCATCACAGGAGACTGTGTGCAGCTTTACTCTCTGATTAAACTCATTCTGTAGGATTTATAAGCATTTTGAGAAATGAGGACATCACCAATGTCCTCATATTTCACCTCCTTTTAGTAATACCTGTGTCATACCCATGTCATTATACAGATTTGTGTCCTGATATGTCACACACACACACACACACACACACACACACACACACAACTTAGCTTATTCAATTCACCTGTAGTGCATGTCTTACTGTGGGGGAAACCAGAGCACCGAGAGGAAACGCCAAACAGAAACCTCACCTGAGCCAGGTGGGGCTCGAACCAGTGACCTTCTTGCTGTGAGGAGACAGTGTTAACCACTGAGCCACAGTGTTAACCTCTCCAGTAAATGCAACCTGATATAAATATGTTAATGTACAGTGAAGAACTGCAAGGACATGTAAGTAACAGGCTTGCTCATTTGTAAATGATTCAGGCCTGTAGCCAGCTCATTGAAAGAGGGGGTTCTTTCTTCTAAAAAAGTGGATCTTTTTGCAGTTATTTGCCTCATTTTCTATCAAATTCTATGGTGTGAATACTGCATTTGGGCGAAGCGGTGGCCTAGTGGGTAGCACGTTCACCTCACTGTAAGAAGGTTACTGGTTCAAGCCTCGGCTGGGTCAGTTGGTGTTTTTGTGTGGAGTTTGCATGCTCTCCCAGCGTATGTGTGGGTTTTCGTATGTGCTTCGGTTTCCCCTACAGCCTAAAGACATGCGGTACAGGTGAATTGGGTAAGCTAAATTGTCTGTAGTGTATGAGTGTGAATGAGTGTGTATGGATGCTTCCCAGAGATGGGTTGCGGCTGGAAGGGCATCCGCTCTGTTAAACATGTGCTGGATAAGTTGGTGGTTCATTCCGCTGTGGCCAGCGCGGATTAATAAAGGGACTAAGCCAAAAAGAAAGTGAATGAATGATTGTTTTGGTAGGTGCAACAAAGAGCATATGGTTCCAGAAACTAATAGAATACAATAACACAATGTTATACAATCAAGTTAAATGTAACATTTCCCACCTGCTGATCTTCATCGAGGACCACTATACATTATACGTCTATTACCACTGTTATATGTTAACCACTAGATGGTAGTCAAGATCTTCCGCCGCAAACTCACCTCTCTGCACCTGTCACGAGCTCGTCTACTATACATTAACAACCCAAAACACTTCCATGAGAGGTATTTAACACATCCAGCCCAATGAATAACAGTATAAAACACAGCTTCTCAAATCACACATAATCTTTCATAGTTATATACTATGATAATCTCTGGCTGACGTTGTCTGTGGAAGGAGGAGGCGTGGCTTTTAGAGAAACAACTCTGACGTAATGCGCGGTGACGCCACATCAGGGCGAGTCCAGAATGCAGCGCAAGTCAAAAGAATAGCGGAGACAGACGCGTATCAAAACACCGACCTGCAAATTGTCTTACATCATGGAGCTTGATGGTGACTGAAACGTAAGTGATTCCTTATGTCATTATTAAAGCGGGTCATGTTTGCATGAGGTGGTATAAAATGTGAACGCTTAGGAGGCAATAAGGAAATGCATGTAGTCTAAGGTTAGAAATGCACGATACGGAGTGAGGAAATGTGTGTGAATGATCGTTAGCTTCTCGATAATTCAGTGTTTTGAGTTATTATGAGACATAATAGAGGAAGCAATCGTGCATTCAGTCGTCATCACGCTTAATATTCCGTCATGGGTGCATTATTAAAATACAGGAGTCGAGATGTTGTCAGCTTTTGATGCTGCAGTAGCTGAACTGCTATGCTGTCAAGCTGCTCAGATGATGTTCTTGGGTGATGAACAGAATCTTTGTTTACATTATTACCAACGTTAGGCATGGAAACAGATTCAGTTTCTGTTCCACAAAATGCCAGAATCGTGTTATTTTCTTGACGTTGGGTTTCGTTGAAGGTTTTCGACTGTTTGTTTATTCTGACATTGCATACGGAAATCTGTACTAAAGCAAACAGGCAACGTTTTCAATACTCATTCAGAGGCACCGCAATCGTTATTGAATCTACAAAACAAAACAGCGAACATTACCGAATGAATGACTCTTAAGAACCGATTCTTTCAAGTGAATGCGGTTGGTGTTGTTCGACCGCGAATGACTCGTTTGAGTCGACTCGTTGAAAAAATAGTTCTTGACAACAAACAAAACAATTAAAAACGTAATAATCCCATCTTACTCACTACCTGAACCATACTAGAGTTTTGTAATCGGCGCTGTTTTGTTAATAAAATAAATAAATGAGATGAATGAAAGTTTTAACATGTTTTGAAATGCCATATGTTTTTGATTTGTTTCATGTTATGATGAAATATGAAAATATTTTATCTCTTTGCCCTTAATCCTTAACACACACTCATAATTAACTGAGGGGTAACAATTAAACCTGACCATTAATATGTTTCTATTTCAAACTGTACATTCCTACATTTTAGATAAACATCCTTAAATGCATTATTTTAGTGTACTATGTACACTCAACGGCCACTTTATATGATACACCTGTCCAACCGCTTGTTAACACAAACTTTTAGTCAGCCAATCACATAGCAGCAATGCAATACATTTAGGCATGTAGACACGGTCAAGAAGACCATCTGCTGCAATTCAAACTGAGCATCAGAATGGGGAAGAAAGGTGATTTAAGTGACTTTGATCGTGGCATGCTTATTGGTGTCAGACGGGCTGGTTCTAGTATTTCAGAAACTGCTGATCTGGGATTTTCATGCACAACCATCTCTAGGGTTTACAGAGAATGGTCTGAAAAAGAGAAAGTATCCAGTGAGTGGCAGTTCTGTGGGAGGAGAATAGCCAGACTGGTTTGAGCTGACAGTACTCAAATAACCACTCGTCACAACCGAGGTATGCAGCAGAGCATCTCTGAACATGCAACACGTCAAACCTTGAGGCGGATGGGCTACAGCAACAGAAGACCACACCAGGTGGCACTCCTGTCAGCTTAGAACAGAAAACTGAGTCCACAATACACACAGGCTCGCCAAAATTGGACAATAGAAGACTGGAAAAACGTTGTCTGGTCTGATGAGTCTCGATTTCTGCTGCGATATTCAGATGTTAGGGTCAGAATTTGGCGTCAAGAACATGAAAGCATGGATTTGGCCTTCTATCAATGATTCAGTCTGGTGGTGGTGGTGTAATGGTGTGGGGAATATTTTCTTGGCACTTTGGGCCATTAGTACTAATTGAGCATCGTGTCAACGCCACAGCCTACATGAGTATTGTTGCAGACCATGTCCACCTCTTCATGACCACAGTGTAGCCTTCTTCTGATGGCTATTTCCAGCAGGATAACATGCCAAGTCATAAAGCACGAATCAGAAAGAATCAGACTGATTTCTTGAACATGACAATGAGTTCACTGTACTCAAATGGCCTCCACAGTCACCAGATCTCAATCCAATATATCACTTTTGGGATGTGGTGAAACAGGAGATTCGCATCGTGGATGTGCAGTAGGGCTGGGCGATATATCGAGTTCTAGTTCGTTCATATCAATATGGTTTGAAGCCACACAAACAAACCACTCCAAGGCAACAGCACGCGAGCTCCGCTTGCACAAAGATGCGCATGCGCAAATGAATGATTCACTCCATGAGTCAAACAAGAGATTTGTTCAAAATGAAAGAATCGTTCAAGAACGACCCATCACTGACGCGACATGGAGGAACACTCAGTGCCGGTGTGGTGAGAAATCTATCTAACTCACGTGCACACACATCACACGGTGCCTGAAGCTGTCAGAAACCTTTTACTGATCATTTCTTCCGCAATTGACATAAAAAACGAACGTAGAGGTCTGAATTCAGCACCTGAATGTGTATAAAAGAATTAAAAACGCCAACATGGGAGGAATTTATAGCACATTTCGAAAGTGAAACCACCTCATATTCACTGATTAGTTTAGTATTTATTACACGACGGTCTCTTTTTTTACATTTACGTTATAACACATTTAGCTCTGCGTTCTGCTCTGTTATAATGACTGTTTACATATGCTTAACCAACATTTCATCACAGTACTCTGAAACACTTTCGTTACTTCTCATATTTATACTCTATTCTTTTTCATCTCCTTATTTGATATCAGTAAAACCAGTTTAGTCAAAACAAAAGACAAAGTGTAGGATTTTTTCCACGAGTGAAAGACTTATCTTTAGATATCTTGGATATGGGCGCTGTTTAATAATTGTGCACAATACACAGAGGTGTAAAGAGTACCTGAAAACCATACTTGAGTAAAAGTACAGATACCTTACTGTAAAAATGACTCCGTTACAAGTTACAAGTCACCAATTCCAATTAGACTTGAGTAAAAGTATTAAAGTATCCAATTTTTAAAGAACTTAAGTATTTTACTCATACTGAATGTAGGCTCAAAGAACACCAAGAAAGGTTTTATTTCCTAATATAGAAATAAAAAAAAAACCTCAATGTTTCAAAATGGCAGAACGAAATAGATTTAAAAAAAATAGAACAAAAAGTCTCAAACTCAAATGTTCAAAATGGCACAAACAATTAGAAAAAAAGTAGTAAAAAACGTAGTTTTACAAAAATACAGAGCTGACTTTCATGTGATTCACCTCATTGTTTCAAAGGAGGGCAATACTTTTATTTTGAGGAGTTTTTCAATTGATTAGGATGTTTTCTCTGTATTAATATTAAACAAAGAGGATCAGTGTTATTTTTCAACTTAGTAAACTAAATATAAATTAAATACATTACAAACTCATAGCTAGAAACAAGGAAAACCAAAAAGGAAGAAGACAAGTTCTCAAGAATGAGGTTTAATCACACATCACTCAATAGCACACTACATATGATCAACAAACATGCAGATGGGATGTGTGAATGTAACAACCAGGAAACTGTAGAACATGTATTAATGCACTGCCCAATATATCAGACAGAAAGAAATATATTATTCACACAGTTACAGGAAAAACAACTGGAACCTAACATAAAGAACATACTAAAGTTGAGCACGGGTGATGTATGTTTTAGATATGTTTATAACTATTTGAAAGACACAGGGTTGATTAATAGAATTTAGTATTTAGATGAATAGTTATCTATATCATATAGAGGTATTATAGAGAAAGAAATATCAAAGTTTGGGACATTAGTAAGTTGGGATTTATTTAGTAATTTATTAATATGTATAGAAAAAAAACAATTATTATTATTATATTTTTTTAGGGGTAATTTTTTTTAGTGTTTTTTTTTTTTTTTTTTGGTGGGGCTTTGTTTAACTATAAAACATGGTTTAGTTAACTCCGGATCCACACTCCAATCCAGATGGTGGCGGTAATGCACCAAAAGCTGGTTGCCAACCGCCATAAAACACAAGAAGAAGAAGAAGAAGAACTCATAGCTAAATGCACCTGATGCAAAATGTATAATATCAGTAAAAACATTTGTTCACGTTGCACAAAAAAGTTAAGCTAAAACATAGTCATGTCATGTCACAGTGCTTTTTGCCATAACAGTAACTGTATTAAATTCACTTAATTCACAACAAATTAACATTAAATAGACTCCTCTTATAGACTTCAATGTGTTTTCTCAAATTTTACGATAAATTCTTAAAAGCACTTATTTTCGTGGCAAGCAAAGTAGACACTGCGTCCTGTAAGAGTCATTCTGCATATCGGCAAATGTAAACATTTCTTTCAGATAAGGCCATGAATGGTCATCAGTGCCGACTTGTCACGCACAATGACAATGTAACGAGTAACTTTAAGCGTCCGTTCAAATGTAGCGGAGTAAAGCGTACAAATATTCAATCAAAAATGTAGTAGAGAGTAAAAGTTGCATATATTTTTAATACTCAGTACAAGTACAAAGTAGCCAAAAAATACTTAAGTAAAGTAATGAAATCCATTTACTTAAGTACTTTACACCACTGACAATACATACATGTAAATGTGTAACTATAAACATACACAGCTGATTTAATTGCTGTTTGTAAATCACACAACTGTGGTATTACTTGTAAAAAACACTGCAATTGTGACATAAAACAGTGGTTCTCAAAGTGGGGGTCGGGACCCCCCGAGGGGTCGCGGGGCAATGAAGGGGGGTCGCCTGGTGAGTTCCAAAAATCGATTTATTTTTTTTAAACCATAAGAATTAACATATTTTATCCATAACTATACTGAAAATAAAAATAGTCGTTTATAGTTACTATATACTATATAGTTACTATAGTAGCTTATAGTTACTAGTTCTATTGGATTGCGACCCCTGGGGTAATTACATTATATTAAAGGCAGCAATAGCGTCAGATGCATTTTGATTTTATAACATCAGGTTATACTTTCTGGTACATTTTAAGCACTGACACAAATTTAATTGGTGTGTCTGCGTCATTGCATGCAAGGTTTCTGAATTTATAACCACGTCAGAGGATATTGGGGGTC